TTTGGCATGCGATCTTTGTTTGGCCAAGGCAAAAGTTGATGAGAATGTTGAAGTTAAGTGTGGAGTGTGCGGTTTATTTCTCTCGTTTGGAGCACGCACGATCATCGTCACTTTTCTTCATTCACCTGCTTTTTATTTTTGGTTGCGCTTCGATTTTTACGTCATTAAAGCTGAAATTGTTGCAGTTTTTTCGTGTGTAAAAACACTGAAGCGTTGTGAGTATTTGTCTGACGTCGACTATTTTTTGACATCGCGCCATAAGTGAAACACATAGCCATCGTACAAAGGCAGTGCAACAAACAAAGCAAATCATTTTTTTTTATTTCGAAGCAAAATTTGTGTTACGCGATATTTTTTGTCTTCATTATATTTTTGAGTTGAGTGTTGTTCTTTACTTTGCTGGTATTTATATATACATTGTTACGAGCATGTTTTAAGCTACACGCTATTTCAGCTCCGTGACGAAGGCCAAGCGAACGTAAGTTTAATGTTTTTTTTATTGTGTTGCTTCGTTCATGGAATTGAAAAAAAAAAAAGCAACAGCATTCGATCACACGAACTCTTTCAGGTGAATATTACTACTACGGCACTGATCAACCGTTCCCTCTCTCTGCTCATGTTTACATTTTGCTATGTGTTTTTTTTGTGTTGTCTACGAAATCGTTGCTAATGTAGTTAAAACCGAATGAATTATATATATTTTTCTGTGGTGTTCACGCGCAGGACTGTTGTTGTTGTTTTGTTGCGCGAACGAAGCACACAAACTCTTGCCAAACACCAGAGTTTGCCAGCGCGAGCCGTGTTGTTATTGTGTATTTTATCAATCAAAAAAACTGAGAGCCAAATGAGCGCTGCAAACATACAACGGCACAAAAATGAAAGAGCTGAACGTTTGTTCAATCGTTCGTTACTTTGTACAAAAAAAGGCGATTGCTTATACAATCGAATTGGCTGTTCGTCACTGGCAAACGCTATTTTTTCGAACGAGAAATAAGCAGACAAAAAGCGACACAACCATCAAAGCGAAACAAAGCGTCAGCCAATATTCATATTCATTCGCTTCGACCGAAAGAAAGAACGACGGAAAAAAAACCTTCGAAATTGTATGCGATACAAATTGTATCCAAATAGAAAATGTCAACAGATATTTTGCGTCAAGCGAAAATATACGGCACACGTGGATATGAGCAAGCAAACGAACGAGCAGTGGTGACACCAAAATGAATCGCTTCAGTACCGATCTCAATCGCACCGTGCTGGTGTGAAATACAAATAATCGAATATTTTTCGGCATATTCGAAGCGACATTGAGACACTAAAAGATTGTCTTTTGATTAGACGCGATGTGTTACTTAGTAAATGCCAACGCGCAAAAAAAGATATCCAATCACGAAGGTTCATCGGCCAAAAAAAAAATAGAGACGCAAATATTACCCAAGATATATTTCAATTTTAAAAACAAACATAAAATTTCCTGAGATGAAAATTATTATGCGAACATAAGCGTAAAAAATGGTGTGCATGGCAAGTAGCCGATGGATGAGTGCAAACAAGTATGTTTTTTTTCCCTCAACTTTTTGCAAAGTACACGAGAATACGATCAAATGATCGCGTTCGCACACGCAAGAATCGGCGTAATTGCATTTGTTTCGATCGCACATTTAAGGTGTGTGAGAGAATAGTGCGCCGAGCCACAATTTACGCTTTATGCGTCGAAAATTTAAGAGAAGAGAAATAATAATAATATAGATAATAAAATCACAAAGTCAGCGTTTTTACACGCTCGCGCGGAGAAAGAAATATATGTATGATAATTTTTACTCCATTGGCCCATGCGGTTTCATCATTCGATACGCGTTTATCACCTTTATGTTGTTGCTTTTTTTATCACAAAAACTGAGCCTATGTTCATTACTTATCTCTCAGGGACTCTACGACTAGATATTACGTTCATTTGTACCTTTCGTCGTTCGCCATTTAATGCATATATATGTATAATAGATTTGAAAAGTCGTTTCTCCCTATTTTATTGCAATTACAAACGAGCAACAGTTTTACGATGCTCTCAAACCGGGCACTCACTGAGAAAACGGATCCTTAATATATAGTTTTTGCTTGCCTCTTTCATATCTTCTCTTTGGTTCTTTAGTATGTGTCATGGCGTTCTGGAGCTGTGATCATTCGGTGCTGGCTGATTATTTCATTTTTATTCCCCGTGTGTGTACGCGCGGCCTCATCGCTCTCCCTCTCTCTCTTTGCCGATTTTTTTTTCTGTTATTTTTCTGCTGTTGCTAAGCATAAAACCTTTTTTTTCGCTTATTTTTTATATTCGTCGACTTCGTCGTTGTTGTCGTCCATCGCAATGTTTCACAGCCATGAAATGTGCATGATGCGCTTTGCTGTCTGCATTTCATTTCAACATTTATCATTGCAGCTCTTATATCGTTTCGTTGTTTTGTTTTGAGTTTTTTTTTTCTCTCTGCTTTTTTTTTGTTGTTTCGTTAAGAAAAGACACATGAAGCAGTACGGCTCTCTCACACACAAAATAAGTGCGCGAATGGCAAATAAAAATCTTTATATGCCCTGCACAGATGAGCTCTCTATACTCAACGAAACGAAGCAGAGACCGTATACACATTTTATGTGTGTGTATCTATATAGAGGTATATATTTATAGAGTTATGCACATTGCTTACACGTTTCCATCACATACGCGAAAAAAAAAACAACAAAAATTGTTTTTTTTTTCGCATAAAAGTCTCTCTTGCATTTTTCTTTCTTGGATTTCTCTTGGTTGTGCGCGCCGAGCGTTCTGCGAGTTGTTGTTGGTGTTTTTGTTCGCATTCGTTTCTTTTGTTTGTTTGTTTCGTTTAACCGTTTTTATTTGCGTCCGATTCGTTCGGTTTTATTTCGCTTTGCTTGATTTTCTGATGATGTCTGTGTTTCTATGGAATGCAATGGCAATGAAATATGAACAAGAATGAACGGCAAAACGGCAACAACAACAGCACCACATTAATGACGAGAGAATCGTCGTTCCGATTGCTTGTGATGGTCGATGTTATATGCCAGGCTGCTTTAAACCACGAAAAAGACGACGAAAGAAGCGAAAAAAAAAACCAAAATAAAAAAAAGAAACTAAAAACAATGACAAAACGTAATAATTCGCTTTTTCTGTGTCTCTCTGTCTTTCCATTCGCTGAATCGAGTCACTTTTTTGTTGTTGTTGTTGTTCGCTTGCGATTGGTGTTTGTGGAAAACTTTTACACTTTTTAGCCGTATTCGATTTGGTTGAAGAGTTGAACATTGATTAGCGCATGAGTTTCTAGCTATTTCTAGGATATTTTTCGATCTGGTTGAATGCAATCACGCGCACGCACATAGACAGCAGCGAACAAGTGCAACAAACCTGTATCAACCAAAGACCATTGCCATTTATTCTAACAAGCAAAACAATTACGACAATGCATTTTTCTCGGAATTTCTTCAATTTTTGCTGCATCGCAAACAAAAATAAAAAGAACATTGAAAATCACTTTGGCGCTGATCTTTCTGTTTCTGCCCAAGAATTCTAATGAACAAATGAGACAGAGTCTGTGTGTATATGACCTTCCCAATCAACGTTAATTTTGCATTTTTAATGAATAAAGAAAAAAACAACAACAAAAATAAACAGAAAATATTCTGACCGGATGAACAGTTCAAGTATCGCAAGCATTGGCAAAAGAATTGTGGAAATACAGCATATATGCAAAGAAGGCAGAAAATTATTGGTAAAAAAGGGAACGTGCCGTCATATATATACACACCGTACTCCACTTGCACACATCATTCACCATACATAATCATTAACATATAATTTAGATCATTCAATTTATTCCATGCATATTCATCAACCATCATAATTCAAAATCAAAAGTGTTGCTGAAAGATTAATGCGTACGGATGAGAATGAGACGAAAGAGAGATGAGACTACGAACAATATTTAACCTGATTGAAATTGGTCAAGAAATCAAACTGATTTTCATTCAATAAAAATCATTCATTTTACTTATCGCTGATTCGATAATAATTTATGAACTTTTTTTTTCTCTATACGTTTGTTTGGCCATTTAACCGTAAAAGATTTACGGCCGCGATAATATGATTATTTTTTGTTTTTGCTGTGAATGTGTGTGTGTGTGTGTGTGTGTGTGGGTACGAAGTATCGTATTTAATAGTATGATATGTTTACAAAACAGACGAGCGCCGCAAAGTTTGAAAGCGAATGAAAGAAGAGAAAAAAAAAGCCACACAGATATCGGCGCAAAGAACAATAGCAAAATACAAGAAGGGAAAAGAAGGTGCTGCAAGACATTTTAAATCGCTTTCAATCAGTGATGATGATCGGTAGCGTAATATTTATTGCAAATTTATTCGGAGCTGTTTAGGAGTTGATATGCATTTTTATTTATGTGTCACCACCATATTCAAGACATTATTGATACGTTTTTGTGTGTTTTAGTTTGTTTTTTATTTTTGTTTAAGTCTACGCTAGCGCAGATTATTGTTGTTCTTTTTCTGTTGCCTGCTTTCGAAAGAATGTCTGGCTCGTACACATATTTCAAACCATTGTCATGGTACACATTAAATGCGCGACAACGACAAGTGTTTAATTTGTTGCCTTCTCGCACACATGATACCGTTACAATATCAATAAATTCCGATCGGTGACGAGGACGGTGATGTTGTCGACGACAACGCGACACATGAAAAAAATAATAATAAAAAAACAAAACAAAACAAAAAAAACTGTTTCATTCAAACGGTTTCATGAATGGGTTGCCTAGCTATTTACGATGTGTTTAAGAGACGAGAGGAAAAAGAAAATATTTATGCGATCGCAGGCACTAAATCTCACTTAAGAATCATGCAGATTGATGACACTGATTGAAAGAAAAATTTATCTACTTGCATTTTTAACGATTTTTCATTTTCTTTCATTTGTTTTGTCTTACAGAAAGCTGACATGATGGGATTACAGGCGACATCAACGAAACGTAAATACGACCAAACCGGTAAGTGAATTTTGTTTCTCAATTTTGTGTGCATTAGGTCATTCGTGAGATATGTATCTAAAATCATTATTTTTATTCAATTTATGATTAGGCCTAGACGGTGGCGATGATCACCAGAAGACGGAAAATGCATGCAACGAAAATGGTGCAGCAGAAGCAATACAATCAACAAACACAACAACAACATCAACGGCACAATGTACACCGGCCAAGACAAGTCGATGGTCAACAATGCAATTGGATTCGACGCATGTGTCGTCGACGTGCGCATCATCGGCACAAAGTACAACAACAACAACAGCGACATCAAATTCAGCCATTCCAAGTGCTGAAGAGAGCATAGCAAAATTAGAAGCGGTCGCAATGGCATTGCCATCAATGGTGATGCCGCTAAACAGTAATATAAATGGTAATGTTGTTGACGGCAATGGCGTCGATGGAAATTCCATTTGGCGTGATTCGGATAGTACACGATCAACATTGGCCACAACACTATTGAGTGCCGATTTAGAAGACGACGATGATTTTGAAGAGGATGAATTTGATGAAGATGACAGTATTATACCATGTTATTCACCGTTGAGATATCCATGCACAACGAATATGTCCGCACGTAATGGTTATATGTCAGGCGGTGGTGGCTATCCACCGAAGCCAAGCTACTATTCAGAACCATATCCACAACAAAATTGCTCACGAACACCGTACAATGGTTCGTCACAATATGGAAATCGATCGATTTCAATGAGCCCACCACATCATCCGGCGTACGGTGGATGGTCACAACATAATCCACATCATCCGAATTACTATGGACCATCACCGATCGATGTGGGCAACGAACAACAAACAATACGATGCGCTGAAAATGGTAAATCGTATCTGGAATTAGGCAGCAGCAATTATATGAACGGCGATAGTAGGCATTTGAAACGATGCTGTGACGGACGCAATGGAATGTGGTGCAATAATAATAAGCAATGTTACAGAGAACGAAGACTTAAAATGCGCCATTTCTCCATGTTAAAATTATCAAGGTTTCGACAATTATCAGAACAATCGCTGTATCGATCGGTATTAATATGCAATACACTTAAGTATATCGATCGTGAAATTGAACAAGAGAACAAAGATTCGGCCACACAACAGGCCGAATTCCATGCACAACATCATTATACTCAATTGCGACTGGCCAATAATAACAATAATAATAATAATTCATGTGGCGATATGTTACAGCAAATGCAACAACAGCAACAGCAACAACAACAGCAGCAACAACATCATTCACAACAACCGCCACAGCCTCCAATGTCACCAGCCATTAGCAATCGCAATCCAACTTGGACCAATTCCGTTGACACAAGCAATTCGGCCAATGTGCAACAACCACCGCCGCCACAACAACAGCAGCAGCAGCAGCCACCGCCGCAACAGCAACAATCAAATATGAATGTATTACAACGGTCGCCACAGCCACAACAACAACAACAATCGCTAACACCGCCATCTCAACAAACGCAACATATACCGCAACAAACTCCGTATTCAACCACAAGTGATATCAATAGCAATAATTATCTACAGCCATACAATCGAACACCAACACCGATCGTTACAATCATGTCATTTAATGAAACCCTTCCGCCATACGATCATCATCCGTTGCGCGATTGCAACGGTCGTGCAACACCATTTCCCGGCACTAGTTTACCCGACACCGATTCTGGCTACGGTGACGAAGAAAAACCAATCAATTGGAGCAATGTGCTTAGCTTATCATCACAATCGGCACTAGATCCATTGATTAACACAAATACCGATACAAATACAAGTACAAATGCTGAATCCACGACCACAATTACTTCGTTGACGTCTTCATCGAATTTATCTTCCCAACAGCAACAGCAACAACAATCACCGTCTTCGGTTGTCACAACAACAACAACACAATTCACCAGCCTAACACCAATCACACCATCACTAACCAATATTACGACGCCATCGCAACCATCATGGGAATACAATTTCGATATGGATCTCGGCCTCGGTGCTGAACTCACCGAATTACTACCGATGGAACCCACGAAAATCGAAAACGAAATGGATTCATTGACAGCGCTGATGGTTGGCGGTAGCTAGTAATTAATATAAATAAAGAACAACAACAACAACAACGTTGCGGAACAGTTCGATTCGAATTCAAGTGGATTGAATTCGAATCTCTCATGGTTCAAACGTGCTTCTAAAGCAACGTTTTTCTACCCCAAAATGGTTTCGTCAATGACATTGGCGACCGTTCGCCGTATGCTTGATTCGAGCGCCACGATACACCATCGTTTCACCAGTGCCCAAACAAGCAATTCTCATGATCTCTCTATATTCAAAAGCAAAGAAACAAAGTATTATTTAAAGAAGAAGAAAAAATCAAAGATCAAAGCTTACAAACAGAATCAAACGAACGGGCACGACCGATGATCATTGACAAATCCTCAGGTTGTGATGGCTGTGCTACGAGTGTCTATTCAAAAGAAACTTTTTTTTTTGCAAATTCTTCTGAACAAAAAACGGAAGAAACGTCGACAAAAAAAATTAAATGAATGAGAGAAATTAAAAAGAAGAAGAAAACACTTTTAGTTGTTATTCTATTATAGATAAATGATAAACGCACATTTTTTCTTCAAACGAGATTTCAAATTTCAATTGAAGACTCAAGTCTCTCCTTCTCACCGTAGAATGAAACATAAAAAGTATCTCGTTTCGAATTTCACATATTATATAACCACGGATAATTTGTTATTATTGTTTGATGCGCAAAAAAATTCCTTTGTTATCGCAAAGCAACCAACAAAAAATGATCTTGTTATATTTTTTGTTTCTCTCGCATTGAATTTTGTTTATTTTTTTTAAATTGATTTTCCATTTAATTTGTTAAACGTTGCAACATAAATCAACACGGAATTTAGTAAAATCAGTTCTCGAGAGCGGGTCAGAATGGACAATTTAAAATTCACTGCTGATTTATGTTCTCTTTTGTTTTAAATTGAAAACGTTTAAAGATTCGTCGAATTTTGACGAAATTTTCCTATAGTTAACTAAAATGGCTAAACAAATGCACAAACATCACCCAAATATCCAAATACAGCTGCTACTTCCCATTTGTTTCGTAGAGAAATGGTCGAAAGAAGTCTGTGATGATCATGATTTTTTATGCACAAAAATCTGTACTCCATGTAGAAAAGTGAATTATTTGAAATAAGGACTAAATCATCACATATTACGACTATTTCTCTTCCAAACATTTATTGATTGATTTGGAATGAATAAAAAAAAACCGGCAAAAATCCATTTGGTTTGTGCATATGTTTGCGAGACACGAATTTATTTGCTTTAATTTTTTTATAGAAATTTTTGTTTCTATATCATTTTCGTACGTTGAATGTGAGACGAGAGAGATAGATTGAGCGCGAAATGGGAGAGATAAGAAGTGTGTCAGAGACACGCTCACTTTTTACTATGTGCCGCATTATTCTTAGTATAATAACTTGAACAATCGACATACAAAATGAGAAGAAACACAAAACAAACACGTAAATTTAAAACACAAAATGAAAACGAAAAAAATGAAAAAATCCACAATTAATTTATTGCTAGTATGTTAATTGACGCATCCAGAAAATATTAAGCAAATAAAGAGAAAATGGAGAAAAACACACACACCTATGAATTAAAGAAATTATTATTATTATTATAATTATTGAAAATAAAAAAATATTTTATTTACATTTTACTTCTAATACTTAATCAATGTGCATCAGCTACTCATAAATTATGTAACTTTTACGATTAAATTTAGACGTATATTTCTGTACATAGTATTTCATATATTATATATATTTGAGGCAGTTTTGCATTGTAAATTTGAATCGGCGCTGAGTCAATAGACAGACAAAAATGCAACTCAAACATACACAAATCCAGCAATTTTTCATCTATAGCATAATATTACAACAAAAAGAAACATTTTAGCAGAAAAAATCGCGGTGATAGAGTTTAATCATCGCGTTTCTTTCTCTTCTTTTTTCTAAATAGCTCGAATTTTAGACAAAATGCAACATACAAAGGATTTAAAATAATAATAATGAAAAAAGAAACATAATGAAACCCCTTCTACTACCAAATGGTCACTAAACATCTTTCGCATTGACAAACAAATTTCAAAATAGTAAAAAAATAATTTAAACAAATATTTTTTATCGAAAACAAAAAATAAGCAAATCCAAAAATAAAACGACGAACAAATTACATTTATATATTTACAAATTTGAACTAAATTTAGATGAAAACAACAACAACAAAACTATGTGTATCTGAAAAATCATTAAAGTAAAACAAAAAAAAAACTAGATTTGTATATAAACTGAGAAAAAGAACCATATTATTCATTCGCAAAACAATTTACAGAATGAAAGAACAACAAAACAAACGATAGAAATATCAATAAAATAAAAAATATATTACATTAAATTGGGCATTTTCTATTTCCACATTTTTCTTTTTCAGACTCTTTTTTAATGAACATTTGCAGATCGATATACAGAACATTCTTGATATATTTTCAACGAGGTTTGGTATGCTTTCAATTCTTGAGGTAGTTTTGAAATTGGAACAGCTTCAAACTGCCAAAAAATTGCTTAAACTACATCAATCGTAACCTATGTCATATAGGTTTTTCGATTATTGTAAAAATTGTAACCTTTCCAGAACGAGTACCAAATTATACAAAAGTATATAATCACCATGTCTGACTCGAATCTATTTATGAATAACCCAAAATTTTTCGCGTTGATAAAACTTTGACTCGAAACTTTTATCTTTACAATTCGTCGGTGTTCTAGAAAATATGGAAATATTTAAAATAAACTTTCTTTAACTAAAAATTTTAAACAAATATGCATTCTTCAATATGTATCTCATTTTCTGCTGAAGCATTTAATTATATCGAATGGCATTATATTACAAGTAAATCAATTAACAATTTCAATAAGTTATATTTCATATTGTGTCGTCTTTTCTAGATCTTTCATGTCTCGTTAATGATATTCCAGAGCCTTTGAAGAATTCCTGAATTTTCTTAAATCGAAAATTCCTTCTTAATTTTGATCTATTCAAATTCTTTAGTTAAAAGCAAATATTTAAAAAAATGTGAGTACAATAACCTCAAATTTGGTAATTTATTTTTTTATTTATAATTCTATTGACTTATTTTTGGCTATAGAAGGTTTTTTCCAAGCATATATTTAATAATACGAAGGGGAAAAAGAACAATGATAATTCCCATTTAAAGCTTTTACCAGTTTCTCACATTTTACTGGATAAAAATGTCAAAAAATAAGAACACCCTTTTACTCAATGTTGATCGATAGAATGAAAACATTAAATTATTGGAAAAAAATAGAGATAACCTCTCAGTCATTGCTATTTACTAATGTCTTTTCGCCATTTGTATTTTTTCCGAAGCAAAGCTATATGCCCTTGAATAAAATACTGGTGAATAACGGCAGCAATTTGGCTCGAATTGTGATCTGGAAAATGGAACACATTTTTGCGCATTTGTTTTTCGCGTTGATGAAATATCTCAAATTCTTTATCTCAATCGAACCTATTTGAGTGCAAGTAGAGCTCTAAATTGTTATCAATTCGAGTGCTTACCTTGAACATCAACCATCCTTGTAATTATAATCATGTAATGGATACTGAAAAAGGTGTGGCGTTGAATTTGAACTGAAAATTCTCAAAAATCAATAAAACAGCGATGCAATTTTTTTTCGTTTTTTTTTCCAAAGTTCACAAGAAAACATGATTTATTGTTTTTTTGCTCTTACTACATAAAATTGGTAAAATGAAATAACCCATAAAAATTGTCTAAACATTGTTTTGTTTCTTGTCCAAGCACATCCATTACATTCAATTTGATTTTTCACAACTCTTTCAATCGATTATTATTTACTGTAGCCTATGCCTTCCTGGATATAATTGCCTGCTGCGCTCTATATTCTAATTAACAGAATTTAAAAAAAAAATGTTTAATAAAGTATCCTTTATTTGGTTTGACCACGCTAAATGTAAACTGGAAAATGTTTTTTTTTAATTTAATTTTTGTTCAATTTGACGCATAAATAAGTTTTCATATCTATTCACTTTTTTGTAGATTGTGAATTAATAATAAACGAAGCCAAAATAATTTATGATGCACCAAGTCCGTGGAAAAAAACGGCGTTTTTTCCAATTTTCAAAAAAAGAGGCAAACAAACCGAGCCGAAACACAATATCGATCGTTCAAAATGCTCTCGTAGCATAATAAATTTTACTTGATTTTTTGTTTAAATAGAATTTTTTTAACACTCCTTTTTTAGTATTCGAATTCAGTGAAATAATTACATCATTACTTAAATTTATATATAATTGTTTTTAAATTAGAGATTTGTGTGTATGTGTGTGCGAGTGTTGAAATGTTACTGCTCCATGTTTTTGTTTGTTTGTTTGAATGAATGATATTTGCGATAAAATAAATGACATTAATTTCTCATACAGGACAATTCGTTCTGGCCTTTTTGTTTCATGTTATTTGATTTCTCCTAGCAACGATTGTCTACCTTTCGAATTTCGTTTGTTTTTCTTCCTCCTTATTTTGAACGTCTCGATCTTTTTCATGCAAACAATTCTCTTTTTTACATTCAAAAACATTACGTAATTTTCTTTTCTTTACATGCTAAATATTACATAAATTTATTTCTTTTGTTCTAAATCAAAGAAGAAGAAAAAAATGTGTCCTTGTATCAAATACATTGAAAATATTATATATATAAATCCTATGTCTTTCGGATGGAGTTTTCAGATTTTAGTGCAATCTTACGAAAGTGAGTTAGAGAAAGAGAAAAAGAAAAGTTTTAACACAAAGAATATATTGATTTAATGCAATAGTAAAATAGGTCCACGAAAACTGCCCTTCTTTCGACTAGTACAAACGCATCATTCAATTGAAAATTGTTCATTGCACCAACATTACGCAGTGGTCATCAATTTTTTTCATTTAATCAATTCAACGGAATATTTAGTAATAAACGCAAAAAATCGACAGTTTTGATAGGTTACCGTAAATGACATGAGAAAACAAAACAAACAAAAAATAAACGTCAAAACAGAGAAGAAAAAATTGCTTGTAATCTATGTTCTCTGTTGTTTCTCATAACGTGTTCATGATGTGTTTCAATTGTTTTGTTGTTATTTATTCTTGCTCATAGAGTTCAATATCTATTGTTTTGTTGTTGTTCATTGCTTGTTTTCAGTTGTCATATTTTGATTTTTTTCGATTTGAAAAATATCGGTGTATATGCTATAAAAGTGATTTTTATCTGCTTACATATTTCTTTTTTAGTTTTGCGTCTAAGCAAGTCTGATTTATTTATTTGTAACTTCCTTTCTCGGCATTTGTTTGTATCATTTCCGTATAGACAGTAGCCCAACCAAAAAAAAATTGGGAATTGGAAATTTGATTTTTTTTCTTTTCACATAATATTTTTTATCTATTTGATTCATTTCTACTATATATATACTATATCAATCATTTCAATTAAAATTGAGTGTACAAATACTAATGTTCGTTATTTATTCTTTTAACAGCAAGTTCGCCTATAATTTTGAATTAATTTTTGGGCGGGGCGAAGTAGATATTTAGGAAGTAAAAGAGTGATAGTGATAAAACATCAAACTAAAATATTTATTCACGATAGTTTTTGCATCCTAAAAAAAACAATTAAATTTCCATACGTATGCCGTACATCGAAGTAGTGGCGATTTCGTTTGTTTTCTCTCAACATTTTAAAATGAAAAGGAACATAAATATTAACATCAGTATTTTTGCGTTGAAAATTCTGATTTTGCAGATTCAATTACGTTTTAACTAGTTGTCTTTGTGTGTATAAGGATGACCCAATGTAAAGGTACTAGATTGAAATTCTGAACATGCCTCTGTCTATCTGTCTATCTATCTCTGTCTGTTTGACATTTGTTTGTTTGTTTTTTTCTTCTTTCTTTCTTCTTCTAATCATTCAATTTGATCAATAATAGATGGTGTAGTGTATGTTGTGTTTATGCTCCCATAGCCTTAATTAATTGTTTAGTTAGCTGGTTGAATGCCGCCGCTGTTGATGTACTTGCGTTTCATCGATGAATCGTAGTTGTCACTGTCGTCGGCATGTACTTGAATTGTGTGCGAAACAATGTTTCCGCCACCGCCACCGCCACCACCACCACCGCCGCCGCTACCATTTGATTCGCTGACATTGTCATAGGATCGTTTGTGGCCGATTCCGCTACCATTCATATCATTTCGTACGTAAATCATGTCAGCGCCACTGGCAAAATTATTCACAACCATTTCTTCGTGTGCGGTCGTGAAGCCGTCCGGTGATTCGGGTGCTGATTGAAGCATTAGCTCATTTGCTTCGTACATATGTTGATTTTCAATCGGTGATACGGGGGCGGAACGTGACATATCAAAGGAAGCGCGCGTATTTTGGCTACCACGATGTTTACGTATTTTATAACTTTGGCCAATCAATTTACTTTCACTGTTTGGATCGATGCGCCAAAAGCAACCCTTTCCCGGTTCATCTTGGGTACGAGCCACTTTCATAAAATATTTATTCAAACTCAAATTGTGACGAATGGAATTTTGCCATCCTTTGCTCGCCTCCAACCGATAATACGGATAATGACGTGAAATGAATGCATAAATGCCGGACAATGTGAGTTGCTTTTCGGGCGATGCTGAAATTGCTTGTACAATCAATTGAGCATAACTGTACGATGGTTTTTCGGTGTCATTATTAGATGATAGTGGTGCAATGAAATTTTCATTTTGAAATGCGGTCGAAATGGATGCGGTGGATTCGTTCGGTTGAACACCTTGTCTCGGTGATGTTTGACAACTGTTTGCCGCACTAATTGTCGTCGTTGGCGATGGCAAACTATGATGTTTACGCTGATAGTTTGTTTGCTGCGGTTGTTGTTGTTGTGGCTGATGGTGATGGTGCTGTCCATACTGAATCGTATTTCGTGGATCATTTTCATGCTGTGGAATATTTATCTTCAATGGACCGCGAGATAATGCGGTCGATTGTTTATTGTCAATGAATTGTTGTTGCTGTTGTTGTTGTTGGTATTGTGGCGGTTGCGGCACCATTTGATGATGCGATTGTTGATGTTGCGGATGATATATTTCAGTCGCATGTGTCGGCGCAAGTTTATTGTTTGTTGCATGCTCGACCAGCACACCGCCATTACCACTGTCCACATAGTTATTCTCTTTTTTTTCAATATAGCTCTCAAAATTCACTAAAATATTTGTACTTGGAAAACGAAAGGTACATCGTTGTGGCAATTTCAGCGGTGCAGTTTTCTTGTGATGAAGCTCATTATCGATAAAGATGCCATTTTTACTGAGGCATACCATGAAAAAATCTTGATTATTACGATCGTAAATGATTTGTATATGCTTGCGTGATACGTAGGTGTTTTCACCTACATGAAAATTAACGGTGGACGCTTTTGAATTGCGTCCAATTTTCACCACATTCTCGGTGATAAAGAGTACGTTTTTGTTGCAGGTTAAACGGCCAAATACTATTCCATTGCTAATTTGAGCTCTTAGCAATTCTTCTTTGGCGGCTAAATCTTCTTGTCCAATTGTCATCGGATGTGCGATAATGGACGATGATCCCGGCGGTGTCGTACCGTTCGTACCATTACCATTGGCTTCGATTTTAATTGGTGTTTCGTAATGCGGTTCGGTACCATTTTTCGTATTATTTGTTGTTGCTGTTGTTGTTATTATGGCGACGGTGGTGGTGGTGGCTGATGTTGATTTTCCACTGTCACCGTTCTCCTCTTTTTTAATATCAACAATCAATGTTTGATCGTTGTTACCGTTTTGTTGATGATCAGTTTCCATGGGTTCGATTTTAATCGGTTCGAGTTTAATATGTTCTCGGTTGTTACCGTTCTCATGCGTTGTCGTGGTTACTTTTCGAAAAACAGATCCTTCGCCCGATTCATTTTTCACAACAACCGTTGTTGTGGCTGTTGCACCAGCTGTTGTTGCCGTTGTTTCCAAATCATTTGGCGGCTGCTTATATTCGCCTGGATTTGCATCATCCGTTGTTGCCGTTGGATACATTTTTCCCGGCGAATTTACCAATCTATACACGCCAGGCAATGAATGAAAATGAAAATTGACATTTAAATCGCCCATAACATGCAATCGACTCTTTTTCTTGCGCTTATGATTACTCTGTTAGTACTGCAACTGGTGAAACTCTTTGAACTGCTACTGGTTGTTGATTTCCGTTAGCGGTCTTTCCGTGTTAACGTCTGATCAATATTTTTCACGTGGTTGCGGTAACACCTATTTTCAGATACACACAGAGAAAAGAAATGGAGAGAGGGAAAGAGAAAAAACACGATTTCATTAAAAAATCATCGATACGATAACGAACGAATAAACGAAATAAATATACACATATATAAAGAGAATTGACCCAATTGGATAATAATAATTCATAGATATGTACGCATATTGTTGTTTTTATCCTTCTCTCATGCAAACGCCAACTAAAATATGCATGCCGGGGACAATAAACATCAATTCGAATTTAAAACAACAACAAAAATTGTATAAACAACAACAAAATACAACACACACCACCATTTACAATCGCCTACTACCACAACTACACTGTCTGACTCTACTCACGTACTTCACGTACACATGACGTGAAAAATAACTAGCCCAACTGAAATTAAGACTATACACAATCAAAATGTAGTGACATTAATTTGATTGTTCCGTTTATTTGATGCAAAGATTTACGCAATATTTACAAACATTACAAATGTTATTAACATCTTTTGTATTGAATAAACAAAAATGCGACACCTAATTTGGCTCGTGATACTTGTTATCTCTCTCTTTTCCTCATTACACTGTATGTGCGTAAATACGCCAATTCAAACAAAAAATGTGCGGAAAAACAATGAATAAGATTTACGTAAATGTGATCCAAGCCAACTTCGCCGAAATCATTTTTTCACAAGCAAAAAAAGTCTGAACTGTCGTGTGTGAAGGGTACAAGAGTGTAAATGGCGTGTGAAACAAAGGGAGAGAAAGAGAGCAAGAGTAAATATGTTTTAATTGGCAACACAACACACAAGTTGAAAACCGCACAAACGCCTGGAAAATCACCAAATCAATCAAATTCTTTTGCACTTAATGTTTCAAGTAAACTGCAGTCGCATGCAATAAATTTTATTTTACGAATGCTTCGAATCAACTTTTTTTTACTTGTTATTCACGGTTTATATTCATAATTGGTTGATTGAAATTGTAAACGAAATGGGATCAAGAGCTTGTACAATTTTTGAGACGAACCAACCGAGAAAAAAAATCGTTCGTTGTACCTGTTTCGTTTTCTTCTTTTTTTCTCTCCTCTCTTATTTATATTTCTCAACCACAACAATACTCTTTATATGCACAATTCAATAACAATATCCGTCGTCACGAGCAAGAGTATGAGGCACAGCAGCAGTAGCAGCAGCAAGTAAAATAGAAGAATTGAATGGTGTCAGGTTTTCCGAGTTTGAAACGTTTCTAAATGATAATATCACACAAACACTCGACTGTTTAACTCTCTGTGGCTGTTTTGACAACGGTAATCGATGATACAAATGTGCAAACACAAAATAAATACATTCAAAATTGGCAATGTTAAAGCAAATTAATTGGCGAAAAAAATTAAAATGATCGAAGTCACTTTTTTTTCTACTGTGCACAAAGTGAATCAAACCGAAAAAATAATAATAAACAAGCGAAACCCGTACACACAGAGAGAAAAGAGAACCGAAACACTTTTCATATACTAATAAATTGGAGACAACAACAGGAGAAAGAAATAAAAAACAAATTAATCGCACCGCTGCGAAAAACACTACACGCATACACCGTGTTTGAAAGAAGAAGAAAAAAACAATACACAGAACACATACAACGATGAAGAAACGACGGCAGTATCTATCGGCTTAAAGCGCCTCTACATACAACACAAAATCGAAAATATTGCTGGCTGCTGTTAGCTTATGCTGCTTTTTTGTCAATCGGTTTTTATGGGTTGTACGTGTGCGTGTACGATTATTTGTATGTTTGATATCACACATCCATATCGTAACAAGAACCACCATACAAATGCTCTCTGCACTGTGTGTGTATGTTTGGGGGGATTTTGTGTGTTATTTTTATGTCAACAAAGGTTAGCTGCTCTGATATGTTCATGTGCTTTGTTTTGCTTTACTTCCCGTGCGAATGGAAACGATACAGATCCCGAACACAAACACGCGCACCCATACACATTCGGCCCAACAACGACATCATATACACCATCGTACACCGGGCGCTTATACATCTATCTATCTATTTATTGGTCATACGATTTACAAAGTACACATGAAATGTGTATTTTATTGCACATGCTCGTCATGTCGGTTTTCCGTACTCAACGGGAACGGGTAACAACGCCAGCTGCACAATTCAGACCGAAGCTGCTGCCAAGTGGAAGAGAGAGCAACAAAAACGCATGTTTGTTTGTTGCCAACGGAACAACCGGACAAAGTTCAGTTCGGGCTCAGTTTCGATCGAAATGAATCTGCTAAGAATTGTTTATATGGTTCCACTGTGCTGTGTGGCCTGTGTGTTACCTGAGCTTATTGAGAGATACTTAACAATAACCACATGGAAACATGTGAATGTTGTATTGAAATAAGTACGAACGACAGACAGCGACGGAACCACCAAACCGGGTTCGTGTCAATGGTGTACACAGAAAATTTTCCATGTGTTTACAGTCAATCGCATAACACACGCAGAGCATGTGAGCGAAAAGAAAGAGAATCGAAACGTATACTATGCATGAGTACAGTAAACAGAAACAGTGAGCAACAACAACAACAACAAAATAAACATTCAAAGCCAAAACACTCACATCCATATATTTGCAATGCTGTGTGTCGGTACAAAATTCAAATGGCAACAATAATTTTTGTTGCTGATTAGAATGTGCGTTTTTCTCTTTCTTTTTTTTAGTCTAGTTAGTTTTTTTTTGTCGCTTGCACACTGTAGATGAAATGCCACCGACAACAATCAAAACAATTCAATATGTGTGTATAGAAAATAATTAAGCCACAATTCTCACATTCTCGTTTTGGCTTTGTTGTCTGTGTGTGTGCGCTGTTTTTTTCGTTGTTGCTGCTGCTGTAAATTAAACAAACAAAAAATATGTACGAAAGACAACGCGATGTTTCGAGAGCGCAAAGAGTACGCAGTTGCTGTTTGGCGTACATATATGCATGAATGGTTGAGAGGCCTCAACGAGGCTTTTCGAAATCGATTTCGTTGAAATCATGTACATATTATTCGATGTCGACAATAACGACGCGTTCTCTTTTCTTTTCCTCTGGCTCATTCGAGGTGACAACATATATACACATTTGCAGTTGTCAATTTTTGGTTTGGCCATTTTCAGACATAGGCACATTTTCTCAAGAACCAGATTCAGGGATTAGATAATCACACTTAAGAATATGTTTGCGCAATGCGTCCGGTTATAGAAAGAAAAACGAACCAAAGCAATTCCGATTCAAATATACATGCTCAAATTGTGATACTCGCGCACGCACAGTTTTGCTTGTCTCCAACAGACACACACACACACACATCCACACGGACAATCCCTCGTCAAAAGTTTGTGAAAAATAACAATAATTGATTTGGAAGATTGTGCTGTTAATGTCATTCATCAAGTACAAATGCCAGCGTTAGAGAGTTAGAACCAACAAAACGTTTCAATCATTCGGCATTCAAATTCAAATTGACGTATGACGCACTGCGTTCTTTTTATTTCTCTAGACTAACTAAAAATATTACAATTTGAAAATAGGTTTCTCGGTATTTATATTTCGATTTGTCATCTAAATCTAAACTATCCTAGCGTGCGTAGCATGGTGACCGTTTTCATCATCATTCGACGCATTACGCATAACCATCGACAAACGCTCTTCTCAAATTCTACATATATCTTTCTTTTTTTGCACTATACATATTGAGCACATTTTTCGTGTGTTTATCGGAGTATCTATGCCTCGGCTCTTTATTTATTCTAGCACGCGCGTATACACACACAGACAGACAGACACAACGTGAATCTATGTAATAGACGCCTGTCATGGCCAACAATGATGACCAACAAACTAAACCTGATTTTTCTCTCTGAACAAAAATTAAAATGCAATCAATCGCATTATTTGTCTCTTTTTCATTTTGTTCTCGCTTGCTCCAGCGCACGATTGAGCAAATAACATTAAGAAAACTGTGAAAACAACGCAAATTGATTAAAAAACAAAATGAATTAATACTATTTGTAAACAAAATGGCAAAATGACAACAACTTCGCATTGACACACTGTTTTGATTAGCACACTCAAAATTCAGATACACATCGACAATAATAACAACAACAAACCGACTACAACGACAAAGGGCAATTGCGCCAGGCAAAATATTTGTTGCCTAATAATATGCAAAATGATTGCAACTTCATGCCGTTCATTCGTACACAGAATTTCAACGGATTCGCCGAATTGGTGATCGATCGACCAGATTTTCCAATTCATTTTTCCAACATTATTGCTCCCCAAGCACAAACAACATATTTTTTTTTCTTCGTATATACATTATGCATGTAGAAGAAATCATAGTACAATTTCTTTTGAAATTGAATACGGCCTACCGCATGTTCAACATACTCACACACACACACATGCATACCAGTACACAAACACCAAACCAAACCAAACCAAATACACCGAAACCACATTTCTGAATGCCATGAAAAAAAAGCTACCCACGGAATGGATATTCATGGCGCATACGGATCAATTTATTTTTTTTCCTCATTCGCCCTTTATTCAAATTCAATTTTTCTTTCAAAAACAACAGCAATTTTTTTATATAACAAAATTGTCTTACAATCGTTGTACAATGGAAACGAACGCTTTTCGGTTTTCTTGATGTTGTTGTTTTTGTTATTGTTATTGACGACCTCTGAGCGTTCGATTTGAACTGATGTGAAAAGAAAATATGTTCGCAATGAATTGTTTGTTAGTAGGCAAAAGAATGCACAAACTACATGAAAATGTATTAAATTATTTACAAAAGGGTAAAGTAAAAATAAAACCACCACCACAAACCCAAAAAAATACCAAATGAAAACCAGTCCAATTGATTTTCTTTTCGCCCGGAATGAAGGAGAAAAGATTTCTTACTTATAGTCAAGAATTTGAAATCACACATCTACTGCGATTTATACACACACAACTTATTCGACGTACACAAAATGACAAGAACAGGGAAAAAAACCAACGAAAGAAAAACAAAATTTATCAAATAAAAAACTATCTACTATCTTATTGAAATTGATGAAAATGTTTAACTAGATAATTGTTTACTTCACTTTGATTCACTCTTTTCGATTCAAAACTCGTTGAATTTAAATGATGAAATTCGAATATGATGTTTTCAACACGCAAAAAATGTCTTTCTTTATTGTAAATAAACTCTTATTTTTCTTGTCTTTAAATTTCGACAACAAATCTTGCTGAAAATATCGAATTTAATCGTTTGATTCACACACTTTGAACTGTTTTTATATATTTTTTCGATTTTGTTTATTTGATGTGCACCGAAGAGTCCGAAGAAATTCCGCTTCGTTCACTGTTGTAATAACATATTTATATAATGTGTTGTATCCTGATGAAAAACGTGCCGCACATTTTCTGTGTCTCTTCAAGAACGCACTAATTGTGTATTGTTTGTAGTTTAGTTCAGCGGTATTTACGGCATAGTGTATTCGAAAAAAGAGAGAGTAAATGTATGAGATTTAATGGCGTTAAGTAGAACTTATACTTAAGCTGCCGTACACATACGCACGTACACCCATTGAGCAATGTGCATTGTTAAATTCACGTTTTGTTTTGGATTTTTTTTCGAATTGGCGCTGAATATTTGGAAAAAATACATTTTTTCATGTTTAAATTGCATTTTAAATTCAATGACATCATCACAGCGCCGAATTATTTCGCTAAAATATGGTTGGACAATGTTGATTTCTGCGCAAATGTTTACTGGGCCCCCAAAGTATCGACCGAAGACGTTCATATTTTTGCTCAACCAATTGAAAACACATGCGGCTTTTTTGACACACATATTCACTGGCACATCCAATTCCACGACAGATTTCACATTAAGTACGCGCTACATGTTGTTTGCATTGTTTTGGTTCGTAATCATGTGAACCAATTGGAAATTGAGTTTGTGCAACAACAACAAAAAAACCATCGACGACTTAGAATGAAATTGCATAAATCATTTGACCAAAATTGACAATAGAATTTATTTAATCTAGTTTTTTTTATGTATTATGCATTTGTTGTGGTTTGGTCATTTGAGCTTCCGCGAGTAAAATTGCTCAAAATGTTTTTAAGTACGGTGTGAATGTGAGTCCAGTTCAGTTTGTCAACATTTTAGTCAAATTGACAGTTGCCGCCAAAACACATCAAAACAAACCGAGAAATTACTCAGTCCACGAATTGTTAACTGTTTATTTTCGAGCTTGGAAAAAGTGTTTAAATTCAAAAATGTGTCCAAACCAATTGTGATTCAATTTGTATTTATTGTACAATTTTTTTTCTCGTTTAATTGTAATTTAAGTTAGATGTAATTGTTTTTAATGTGTGCGACATTTTAGTTGAATTGTTTTGAAAAGAAGACACATTATTTCATATAAAGAAAAGACGAAGTCATGGGTATCCAGGGTTTACTTCCATTTCTTGACAAAGCAAGCGAAAAGATTCACATAAACAAACTGCGTGGAAAATCAGTGGCCATTGACTCGTACTGTTGGTAAGGCTTTAAAAATGTACTTTTTAAACGTCCACTTGGCACGACTCAAAAAACAATGTGAATTAAATGAATTCGTGTGTGATTTAGGTTGCACAAAGGAGCATTTGGCGTTGGTGATAAGCTGGCACGCGGTGAAAAGACTGATGTGTAAGTTTCATTGAACGTTTCATTGTATGAATAACAAATCATGAATTTGACATAAAAATGTCTGTTTTAGGCACATTGTGTACTGCTTAAAATATGTAAATATGCTGCTTTCTAACAATATAAAACCAATTTTGGTGTTCGACGGAAGGCATTTGCCGGCCAAGGCTGAAACAGAGGCCAAGCGAAGAGAGTAAGTGAATGTGAAGTAAATTTTGACAAATTACAAACTCAAAATTTCCTTTCGACTTTTCGTATTCCCATAGAAATCGTAAAAACGCCAAGCTACGAGCAATTGAATTGATGAAACAGGGAAATCACAAAGAAGCTCAAAGTCATTTGAGACGTTGTGTGGATATCACACATGAAATGGCTCTTGAGCTAATCAAAGTTTGCCGATCAATAAATGTTGATTGTATCGTAGCTCCTTATGAAGCCGATGCCCAATTGGCTTATTTGAATAAAATCGGTCTGGCTGATTATGTGATTACCGAGGATTCAGATTTAACATTGTTCGGTTGTCAAAAGATCCTCTTCAAATTGGACTTGACCGGAAATTGTGTACTTGTCGATTCAAACAAATTCCATTTGGCTATGGATTGTAATATAAACAAATTTACAATGGATAAGTTTCGGTTGATGTGCATTTTATCGGGTTGTGATTATTTGGACTCCCTTCCGGGCATCGGTTTGGCCAAGGCATGCAAATTCGTTATGAAAACCGAAGAAACGGACATTTTGCGAGCACTTGACAAAATACCGGCCTATTTAAATATGAGACACTTAGATGTAACCGACGAGTATAAAATAAATGTACTAAAAGCGCGTGCCACATTTTTACATATGGTTGTGTACGATCCAAGGAGCCGAAAGCAAGTACATTTACATGACATCGACGAACTCGGCACCAATATTGAGTATTGCAGTAATGCTGGAGAAATACTTGACAATAAAATCGCATTAAAGTTGGCTGTGGGCAATTTGAATCCATTTACAATGAAACAATTGGACGATTGGCATCCCGACCACAGAGAAAGAGTAAAATACTATTTGCTCTATAACTTACACTTTTTTTTACTTATATCATTAATTTTTCATTAGGCGAAAAACACCACAACTATTTCTACCAAAGGATTGAAAATTGCTAAGCATTCAAGCATTTGGAATCGGAACTATCGATTTTCAGTCATGCAAAATGAAACTGCTTCATCGTCAAATGGTATTGCTGCTGCGGCAGTATCAAAGGTACCAGTGAAGAGGTTATCCATGCCATCGAAGAGAGTTATTGAAACGTTTGAAGACGAAAATATACCCACCGAAAGTCAAAATGATGAAATGATTTTGGAGCAATACATGAATATCAATCAACCGTCACAAAAGCGTTTCAAAGAAGACAGTGACAATGATGACGAATCGTCAGCAGAAATGGATGCATGTGTTAAAAATGAATCATCGCCAAAGAAACAAATAACACCAAATCGGAATCCATTCAAGAAAGCAGATACATGCAAAAACGAATTATTGTCACCGACACGCATATCAAAGGATAACAATTCATTGATCAAAACTCAAAGCCCAGTTAAGCACTTTGACTATAAAAAATTAGAAAAATTGAGTCGATTCAGTCGAACAGCCGATCCAAAGAGGCAACCGGTGCTCAGCCGTTTCTTTGGTGGCAACAAAACTGAAGACGAAACGCCAGCAACGCCAGCAGCAACGAAAGTTGAGTCGGTCTCACAAATGAATAGCCCAGACTTATTGAATATGCCAGAGGAACCGAAGCCAAATTTATATTTTGATAGCAATGACAGCGGCATTCATTCACAGAATAACAACGAAGAGCAGAAAAACTCTCAGGGTAACGCCAGCGAAAAAAATTCGGCAGATGATGACGACGATGATGGGTTGAGTCTCTGTAGCCAACATTCGATACTTGATAAGTTTAAATTTGCAGCAAAAGGAAAAATGACCCAAGGTAGTGAATGCGAACGAATGGAGTCAATGGAATTTCAAAGCTCACAAAACTCGGATAATAATAAGACTGACAGCGAATCTAGCGAACTGCCAACACTTTCAAGTGACAATGAAAACGAAGTTGATAATAGTCAAAAGGAAACAAAGCAACTGCCAGGTGGAATGTGGTTGAGTGGAATTCAACCGATAAAAACGGTAATTCGAATGAAGAGACCTGCAATGGCAAAATGTGTGACTCATGACTTTTTTCCTTTTTTTCAGACTACAAAGACTGCACAGAAAACGACAATACGACGGAAAAAGTCAATAACAGTCAGCAATACATCGAAAAGCAATGCCCAACCTCGACTCAGTTCCTTTGGATTTCAACCAAAACCCGGAATGAAGCGTTGACAAAAAGTTTCCCAGTGGACTGAAACCAGTTTCAAACCAACATTGGTTCAATATAAAAATAAACAAAACATTTCTACATTTTATACTATTTATTGGATGTTAATTTTTTCTGAACAATTTTTTTCACTTTCTAAATAAAGTTTCTTTTACTACGGCAAAACATCCATCGAATTGTTGATTTTTGAGAGAAATGTTATTTATTCTTCGCTCTTTCCTTTATATTCGTCCAAATGTAACAAGACCCAGGCTGGCGTGAAGAGGATGGCGCACATCATACATGAAACTAAAACGGTCTTCTCCTGTGAAATAATAAAACCACATAGTAGATCATGAATTAGATTGATATAAAAATTAAACTCAAAAAACACCAACAACTGGGAGAGACGAAAATGGATTTATTGATTTTGATTGAATTTAAGGTTATGTCTTTTCTCTATTCCTATTATGTAATTTTTTCATTTGGGTTGTATTGGAAACACTAATATTCGAAACAAATTTGGCCTTTAAAATTCAAATTAAAACCAAATGACATTTTTACACGAATAAAATGGAAAAAAGTTCATTTTTAACGAGGAAAATATAAATATATTCCAAAATATAATAATCAAAAATGACTTACAGCTACAGATACATGACGACTTCTTGCACCACAAACGGCTGATGTTGAACGGCTTGGAACCTTAAGAAGGTTGTTTGCAATTGGACGCAACAAATTGTTGACCAACATTTTCGAAATATTTGATTGATTTTTTGTGTGGAAAAGCGAAAAAATTACTGATAACAATAAGCGACGCACTCAGAAATTGATTTTGCTCGTAAATGACAAATGATGAAAATATTTTCACTTTAAACGTCACAGTGTCACAGAGAAACGTCAAGAGTGTTTGGGACAGCAGACGGCAGGGTTCGATAATGAACAACACTGGGAAACTGTTTATGGAAAACAAAACGTTTTTCTTTGAATAAAAAGCGAGAAAATGATTTATTTGCAATTTTGGTTCGATTTTTACAAAAATCTTATCCCTCTCCTTGCATTATTACCCGTATTAGGTCTATAGTTGATGACCAACAAATAAATTTTTCGCAAGACTAAAATAAGATTCGAATCTTAAAAATATTGAAAGTGCTTTATGCGCATGCCAACCATCTGTTATAGCTCCCGAGCTCTCTATAACTGTACAGTGAAACGGCTTGAATATTTTTTTGTATTGTGACAAGAGCTGTATGTTGTTGTTTTCCTTTTTCTTTGCCATGCACAAGACCGCGAGAAATGCGTGACGAGAAAAAAGTTGCACACATATTGGTGAATAACGCATTTATAAAAAAAAAATATGACATATTAAACACTGGCTGCGCTGTATGTCTTGAGTGTATTGTGTGGTATGTATTGTCTCACTTGTACATACTGCGTCTATCCTATCCGTTTGGTACAAAACTTATAGCACACTTGTGTTGTGTGCACGTTTTAAAAATGTATCGCTTATTTTTCGGGAAAAGAGTGAGCAGCATATAAATCAGACAGTTTGTAACCAGTTCATTTTCATCAATGAATACGACCAGCAGCAGCAACTGTGAATCGTTGGAAAAACGGTGTTGTGTGCGCGCATTCAATGAAATCTGTCCGAAACAAAAAACCAAATATATGCGAAAAGACAAATATACTACTCTCTTGCTAAAGAGTTAGTACATTCACAACATCGTGCGAAACTAGTTGGGATTACCGTAATTTCGTGACAATGTGTAAAATGTGAACATTTATATTCTCAATTGAATATTTTCAAATATTTAAATTACGATAAAATAGGCGAATGAAGTGAAAGATAAATAAAGAATAGAAACGACCGTTCGCCTTCATTTACATAAAAAATAATATGTATTGGCATTCAATAGAGAAAGAGTGAAAAAAAGAGGAAAAAAAAATCAATAATATGATGAAATATGAGGAACTACAACATTGGTGTAGCAATGATATTTAATCAACGACCAACGATGTTGACGATGACGATTACTTTTGCACAAGTGAAATCAATTCGAATTTTATAAATAAATCGCGGTAAGTGTGTTTACTTCTCTTGTTTCTCTCTCTCTCTCTCTCTCTCTCTCTCTCGATATTTATGTCTATTTAAAGTTGCCATTAGGATTTTTCCGATCTAATTGGTTGACTGTGTGATTGCAAAGCGGCGGCGGTGGCAGGGCTATTGCTGGTACTATCGTGTGTGAAAGTAAAACGCGACAGCAGTAGCTTTGAAAGCCCGCTCTTCAAACAAACACAAATTTTATTGGAGAGAAATGAACGAAAATGAAATGGAAATAAATTGCAAAATAAAAACATAAAAATATATCGTTCTCTCTCTCTCTCTCTCTCGCTCTCTATCACTGCGGTGTGGTGGACGCGCGTGTGAAACGCCACAGTAACAAAAGACTGGCAAAACAAAAACCGATGAAATTCGTCTGATTGAATGTGTTAGGCGTAAATGTGCCTAAAAAACTATATATTCATTATACAACGTAATTTGACGCATAAGCACAGTCATCCATCAAAAGACTATTAAAAGACCTGTTTTGCGAAATGTTTTATTTTTTCGTCTACGATGTGTATTCAGTTTATTTCGGAATTTTGTGTCATTCGGCGAAAATATCTCTTAATCATGCACAACATTTATATGCCATTAAATCTTCTTCGTGTTTTACTTCGCAGATGAAATAAAAACAAATGTTCGGGATGTTGCACATCGATTTCGTATAAATGGTTGCAAATCAGCAGTCAAGATTTGTTGCAGTCGTGTTTTGCGTAAAAACATACATTTTTGTAGTATTCTTTCTAATTGCATAATAATTATGGTTTTTATTGGGCGTTTCCCCACCTCTTTTTATATAGTATACCGAGAATCGAACAAGAATTTCGTTGAAACTGCGACACTTCTTATGCAAAAATGTTAATATGAAAAATAAATACACATTTTGGCTACAATAAAATGCATATGCAAATGTTTATCGATTTTTCGACTTTAAACAAATTCTTCGCGTACACATGTTCTCAACCGTCTACAGCTCAAGTGCTTTGCGGAATTTAACTGGAAGAACAACTTCTTTTTGGCACTTGAGCGTGTAATATCTGCAATGAAGGAGGAAAAAAATACCCACGCAACGCGGGTTCCAAACATGGTAACTCGAAAAATTACTAATGAAGAAGTAAACAGCAAACAAAAAATTCCCAATAAATCATCAGACATTTCAGTTGTTATTCTATATGCTTTTTTGCGCTATCAATTATTATTATTCATATTCTATTGCTGGTGGCGCTGTTATTGTTATGACATTGTTCATGGTCACATTCCGTTTTCAATCGATTTCGATGAGTCAATGGCGTGCGGATACCAATGATTTTGATTGCCAATTTTAAATTCGAATTGAATCGATTTCCTTTTTAAAAGAGAATTTCAATTTTAACTAATTAAATTGGACAGGCGTTTCACATATATTTGATTTAATCAATAGATGTACATACATGGGGCGTATTCATTAGTTCCAACTTTTAATAGTTACTTATTAAATTGTTGTTCGTAACATTCTGGTTATTTTTTTTTGTTAAGAACGCGATCTGTTTTTTTATCGGCTCGGTTTCGTCAACGTTCGCATTCACTAAATGCGTTGAGCAATATAATGACTGGGTTGGAGATTATAGTTTTCTAATATTTAATTTCCACTGTTATTACAATGAACAGTAATTTTCTCTGCGCGTAGTAACCAATAATATATATATACTATATATATTATATAGATATATACGAAAAAGTATAATACATCGCACCATTAAAGTGGCTAATTCAATAGAATAATCCTTGTTCTTCATTTTTTTCTTTCATTTACTCGACCCTTATCGTTATGCTTACGTTGATACAGCTTTGTTGCTCCCCTGTTGACCCAATAAAAAAAGATGTGGCAAGTCGCATAAGTTCCAAATGCATGTACGTCATTACATTTATTATTTTCCGATGGCAATGATTAAGGGAATTAAAATGGATTAGAGTTTCGGCTAGAAGGTCATGCATTGTATTATTTCAATTAACACATCGTTATCGTTTGATAAATTAACACAGTGTGGCGAGAGAGAAAATATTTGAATTGGTAATGCGTATGTTTGTTTGGTGATGAGTGATGTTGCCGCCATCGTTATCGACGTTTGTAAGGTAAATTATGTGTATATAGTGAATGAGCGCGTCAGCTCGACTATTTTCCAAAGACATTTTAATTAGTTGATCGACAAACAAATTGTATAAACGGTGCAATTTTCCACACGCAATCCATCAACCATAAACTCTTTACCTGCAAACATTTGTATCACCATCGCTGCCGCCACCAGCAGCAGCAGCAGCATTCAGTGAGAGAGCATTTTTTTTACAAATCTTTAGCAAATGCAGTTTGGACCTAAGTGCATAATAACGAGAGCACTTTATTGCCTCTTCTTATAACGATCGAAACTTCCAATTTAACAATCTAATTTAATAGATATTGTTGAGCTAATTTACAATTGTGCAACACACACTCACACAGCCATTCCATTTTTGCACTCCAAATCGTACACATTCATGAGCATCACTTCGATAATATGCATGTGCGGAGATGCACATTTGAATTTCTCAACTACAACATTACTGACTAGAATGTACTTTAATTTGTGCTAACAAGAGCGATTTTCTATTTTTGTCATTTTGATGCACCGACAACATCTTTATCAAATGGGCTCTATGTGCATGTGTCGCATTATAACCGCGCTTCAACAAGGCCAGTGCGAAAAAGTACGCAAAATATGTGTAGTAACAAATGAAATACAATGAGAGTCTTATCAATTCAGCGATGGGATTTCGCATATTTTGATCGAGCTTCAAATTATGACGAATTTGCACAAAAGAAACGTTTTGCTTTTTATCGCTTTTTTTCAAACAGTGTGAATATCGTACCACAGCGTCAGTCCGAACGGATTAAAATAGAAACATCAAAAAAAAAGTACAAAAACCACTCGGCGAATAGGACAAGTCAGCCAACCAAAAACAGCGACCACAAAATAAAATATAATAGATATCGGTTTGGCAGCGCATGTGCCTGGATTAATTTGCATTTGCTCTTTGGCATTTTGTTTTAATCATGACAGCATTTGCTCATTTTAGCATTTCGTTTTGATTTCGTGTTCGTGTAGGACAAAATTGAAATTTAAAACTGAGGGTTTGGTAGTCAGAAAAAAAAACACACACAAATACATATTTACGACTTCTTTATTGAATATATACTGTGACTTTTTTCACAGTGTGATCGAAATCATTGGCGTTGTCTTACAATTCAAGCATAATTTCGATTTAATTTAAATTGATATAAATAATTGTTTTTGTGCATTTCCAGGGACGATGAATAATATTAGACGACAATTATGGTATCACTCTAATCCATGCTGTTAGACGTCAAACAAACACCAATTCTATAAATAAACAACCATTTTTTTTGGAGTCAAAATGCGCGGTAATTCCAACTATTGTTATAATATTTCAATATTTTTTTAATTAATTTTCCGTTTTGTTTTGTTTCTTTCGATTGTTTTTTTCTGTCTCTCGCAGGTCGACGTATTCCGATTGCTTTACCAAATACAGGAGCATTGGCTCGTAAACGAAATTCATTTTATTTACGAGCCTTTCTAGTAATATGTTTAGTACTATTCGCTGTGCTACAATTACATTTAATAAATAGTCGTGAGTACTTTTTAACAAGCTCGAAAAAGAAAAACAAAGAATCCAATGAAATGCACTTTCCTCACCCGATCTCTTGCTCTTTCTCGTTTTCTATCTCTATTTAGCCGATTATCGGGAACAGCATTCAATAAATGAACTGGCAAACGACTCATCGGCGGCCATTCTGCAAATGGTGCCAGTAGTTTATCGTAAATTTTTAACGATGAAACCACGTAATCAAACGAACAATAATAAAAGTTTAAATGGCACAAACGAAGGGCGAAACCATCCAACTGTACTGTCCCATGTAGAAGAAATATTGCGAAACATTGCACGATACAATGAACTACAGTCGGTTCTCAACGAAGATCTATTCGGTCCATTGGCCAATGATTCTGTGATAATTGTAATTCAGGTGATTATTTTGCTCTTGCTTATTTTTCTTTGTTTCCATTCTTTTTATTGCTACTTAATTAAATACAATAAATCACACTCTGTCTACTTGGCGGATTGTTTTTCTTTTTGCACAGGTTCACACACGAGTTGAATATTTACGGCATTTGATCGTGAGTCTGGCACAAGCTAAAGATATTTCCAAGACACTTGTAATATTTTCACATGATTATTATGATGAAAATATTAACGATTTAGTGCAAACGATTGACTTTTGTAAAGTCCTACAGGTATGCTATACATCCATTCCATTTTCATTTTGAATTTCCATTCGAAACGGCCATTTTAATCATCGACGCTCGATCTTTCCAGATATTTTACCCATATTCGATACAAACACATGAGCATGAATTTCCCGGCGAAGATCCCAATGATTGTCCACGAAATCTCAAGCGAGATCAGTGAGTACAATTAATTTGTCGAAGTGACAAATGCCAATCAATTTAATGTAAACCACACACATATCGATTTCAATTTTTTCTACTATCATATAGAGCTATTGCACGAAAGTGTAATAATGCACTTTATCCGGATCTATATGGTCATTACCGTGAAGCCAAATTCACTCAGACGAAACACCATTGGTGGTGGAAAGCGAATCGAGTTTTTGATCAATTGGATGTCACGCGACATCACACAGGTAAATTGCCGTCTACCATACCACAAATTAATTTGAAATAATTGAAAAATGGTAAACCATTCGGAGAAAATGATACTCCAAGTAATGACAATGTATGCTTTTTTCACATTACAATTTGTGTGTTGTAGGTCTTGTGCTGTTCCTTGAAGAAGACCATTATGTGGCTGAGGATTTTCTGCATCTACTTGAACTAATGCAGAAACGTGCTAATGAGCTATGCGCACGTTGTAATATCTTATCGTTGGGCACATATTTGAAAACATTTAACTACTACACATACGCAAATGTGAACAAGGTAAATTGACATGCATTTTTAATGTGCATCTAAATTGATTTTTAGTTCGGTTAAATGTAGAAGAAACGTAAGAAGCGCGTAACAACCGTACATAAATAAATTATGCAAAGTGTCTCGGTATTCTATTGTCATTTTGTGAAATGAGACAGTAATGTAGCACGAGCATTATTTAAATCCCAATGGCACATGTGCACTCCATTCAGTGAAGAATTACCTGTGTCCTCAACCGAACTTTAAGTTCTGAGGCGTCGTTTTTTTTATATAGTGTTTTAAGAAAATAATGTTCCAGTGTCTGTGTCACACATTTTCACGTCCATGTAATGATATTATGCCATTTGTTCATGTGTACATATATATATTTTTTGTAAACCATTTACCAATTTAACTCTCACACACTCTATTTCTATTCATTACACTGACACCTCTAACCAAATTAACCAAAACCAAATGCACGACCATACCATACCACACCACATACACATCGATCGAAACGAAAACCAAAAAAAAAACATTCAGAAATCGTCATCTGGCGATGGAATGCTTAGAATGAAAACGGAAAAACGAGCCACGGAAACATGGGGATATCAAATATTACCTACGCTTTATTCCACTTACCAAAAGGTACTTAAGACCTTTCTGTCTCTCTCTCTCTCTGGCTGACAACATTTTCATACAACTCACTGTCTCTATCTCTTTTTATCTCGCACCATTTTCTTCGCTTCTCTTTTATAAGTTTCTGATTCATTTGATTTATGCGGTTTGGCTTTCGGCAGCTTCAATAAAAGTGTGCCATTGGTTATCCGCATGGCTTTTTGCATGTGCTATACATAAATCTCTCACTGTATATGCTATTGTTATTTGAAATTGCGAAATTCTGATTGGTTTTGTGCGGTCAATATATGCACCACCGCAAGAAAATTTCTCGCACAAATTTTTAAGTTAAAATTGGAATTGAAAATGAACAAAGAAAAAAAACTTTTCAATTTTGATTTTGAAGCGCCATTAAATCTTCAGCTGGTTTTAATTGGTGAAATGACCTTGGCAAATACGACGGCCAACGTCTTAATACAATTTTATATTATATTTCGAATTCATTCAGTGTTTGTGCTTGTTATTTATTCACTTTCTTAACTCTTTTTTTTCCTCCTCTCTTACAAAATCATGCAAACAAAACAGCAAAACTTTCCATTTGCCCTTTGATGTTGTTAATGTTATATATTCAAAAGTTTTTGGATTTGTGTTTTTTTTTCTCATTTTGATTGTGTATTTGTTCTCGACCTTCTTTTTCGTGCGAGAACAAAAAGTTTAAGTGCAGTTTCTTGATTATATGCTTTACACTTTTTTTCCATTATACCATCATTTGGGCCGTCCCTTTGTTATGTTGTTATTATTATTGTTGTTGTTTTTGTTGTTGTTATTACACTGCATCGAATTATTGTCTACATTTTTCTCTCTCGGCAGATTGGCATATTGTACATTTGCGTCATATCTTTTATGTATTTATATTCGAAATTGTTATGCATTACATTTGAATTGCATCCACACCAATTTGAAAATGTATATATTTAAATTGCACACATTATTAAAGCGGTTTTTTTCTAGTTACACAGAATGATGATTTAAATTTGATAAAATAATGCTGTTGTAGTTTTTCATGTACTTTTTTTTACAAAAATTGCACGGTAATTGCACCAACACCTTGTATCGTCATCAATCGTCCAACACCGTTATCGCTGGATTCTTTAATTATTAAATGGTATGTTTTAATGGATTGATTACAAAATTTTCTTTCGTGTTTGGAATCGGTATAGGTCGAGGTGATCCCATGGATATCCAGCAAACATAATATGGGCTTCGCCTTCAATCGAAGCACTTGGCGTGAAATAGTGCGATGTGCAAATCATTTTTGCACGTACGATGACTACAACTGGGATTGGTCACTACAGCATGTATCCCAACAGTGTCTACAAAAGAAGCTACATGCAATGGTTGTCAAGGGACCACGCGTTTTTCATATTGGCGAATGGTATTTCATGTTTTGCTCTTTTTATGCTTTTTGTAACAAAACAAAAATGACGTCGTAAAACCTCTCAAACTAATGGCGGTGGAATGCCCTCGATGTTGAATCGTTTTTATGTGATCCCACGCGATTGGGAGGTTTTACTGAATTTCAATCGAATTCCCATAGGATACTTCCTATCTCCGATTACCCAATTTATATACATCTTCTTCTTCAATTTCAGCGGCGTACATCATAAGAAGAAAAACTGTGAATCGAATCAGGTCATTTCGAAAGTGCAGCAAGTGCTTCGCATTGCATCAAAATCACATCAACTGTATCCGAAAATGCTAACGCTAACGGTGGCCAGTGTTGTTAAGAAATCAAAACTACGCAAAGGCAACGGCGGATGGTCAGATGTACGAGATCACAATCTATGCTTGAACGTCACTTGGGCCAGCTATTGATCGAATAATGGAATCTGAATATAACGAGTCGTTTTTTTTTCAGCAATAAAAAAATGTATCAAATGTCGCAAAATAGCGACAACCAAAAAAAGAGTAAAGTTAACCGTCACTTTAAGTGTGCCACACAAGTGAATTGAAATTTAAGGCAGATAAAGATATTTGATTTTCTTCTCGGTTTTGTGATATAATAAAACTTCGAATTTTCATCGTTACACGCATATTTTTTAAGAAGGACATATTATGTATTTTATTTACAAGAATAGTAACGCCATTAAATAAGCCATACGTACATTTTTTCTCACAATATCTTTTTGTGAATTTTCCACAACTCTATGTAAATCAATGGAATTTTATTTGTTGCTATAAAAATCTAGTCAAATACAGGATTTTCCATAGATTGTTCACATTCGATCGAATAGAAAAACCAAAAAAAATAAAAAATTATTGGAAATCTCTAGTCAAAATCAAAATTTTATATAACAACTATTCGAAAGGTAGAGCTATAAAACTGTTAACCAGCAAACAAACATAAATTTACATTTTTATGAAGAAAAAAAATCCGTCGTTCATAATGGATGGCTTTTTTTCGATAACATAAAATATTTGTATAAAAATGCAAATAAAATAAAACGCAACATGTTAATTTCAATGAGCTTTTTAATGTGAAAAGATCCATCACATGCAAACACACACCTCAAAATATACAGAAACTTTTCTTCTTTGTGTAAAAATAAAAAAAAAACGTAACTGTAAACAAATAAAAAAGAAATCAATCAATTGAGACACATTGTCAACAGAAAAAGTATGTTTGTAAAAAAAAATTAAATAATGCAAGCGATCGAATAGATAGATTATAACCAAATTGCTCAATAAATAAAACGTGGTATAATGATAGATATACACTAACATCGACCATTTTTAATAAACAAAAATCGATTTAAATGAAAAAAAAATGAAGACACCTTCTTGTTTCTCTTATTTCTACTTTTACCCGTGTGTAAAGCCGGCTAATTTGGGGCGTTTTGACCGTCTATATGTGAATGCTTCGAACAAAAAAAAAAAAAAAAACACAATTATAGTCAACTTTGCAATCAAACAGTCAAACTTCCCAAAATCGCCAACTGTGATGATTTGAAAATCTGTATGAAAACCAGTCAACTTTGATCAACTTAGCCAGTCGAATACATTTGACTGACTGTTAGTCACTGTTTTTGTACACGGGTAGCTATTTGATTTTAAAACAGAGCTCAAATCCGCAACTCAAGCTAGACGCGCTTTCCGGAAGTCGTTTCCGCGACTATAAGTGTAAGTATGACTATTTTTGCTTTATTGCGTTGTTGTATTAGTGTGAGACGCATCTCCTAGCAAATTTGGTCTTCGTAAGTTAGATTTCATGCGCTGTTTGATTTAAACAAAAGTCTATTTTGAATAATAATGAGTGACATTTTTATATATCGCCGAACCGGATTTTTTTTAAAAAAATCGCAAAATGACGTAAGACCGTCGCAAATTCTGCATTCCATTTGTATTTCTATCGAAGCGTTTTTTGTTTGTTTTGATTCTGAAAGCTGCGAAAATCTTGGGTATCAATAAATGTGGGCCATTTTTTTGGACATATTCCCCTTCCATCTTCGTATGGGCGTCTTATTTATAAATTTCAAATATTAATGAAAGTAATATCACTCATCAGTCATCACATGTTTATAACATTTGTTTGTGTATTTCTGCTTGATAACAATTTAAAGGTCAGAATACTAAAAATTCGTTCTGTATTTATCAGCATATTCTCGCATTTATACACAATAAATATGCAAAATTCACAGAAAATATAAGACTGTTTTCTTGTTAACTAGAATGCTACGACATCAAATGTCAGAGAGATGAATTAACAAACTTATTTTGAATAAACGGCAGTCTCTTTTGAGTTGTGATTGTGGCACGAGCTTGAGTGACTTCTACTCGCTCAGCAAACGTTTAACTAAAATTTTGTATAATGGGGTCTACAGCGAAATTGTATTTCTGTTCAAAATCAATTTGTAAGCAAGTGTTAACATTCGATTTATTTATTCGATTACATATTGTTGGTTTTTCTTTGTTTTTAGATCGCCATATTAAAATACTACTTTCAAATTTGGGTGCAATAGTTCAAAAACGAAATCCATTTTATTTGAAAATGGTTTTTGTAATGTGTCTGATAATAGTACTATTTGCGGGTTTACAATTTGATTTTATAAAAGCCGAAAGTAAGTATAATTCGTAAGAATTAAATTGAAATTGGAATTTCACTTTGTGCGAATCTGTTTTACAGAATTTCCATTTAGATTAAATGTGATAACTTCTTATGTTGATAATAAAAACAGTGAACAAATTTTATTTAAAGCACAACAAGTTCAAAATGATAATTTGTTCGAACCGTTGCGAAACGACTCTCTAGTGATTGTGATACAAGTTCATACACGAATCGAATATTTACGACATTTAATTGAAAGCTTAGCCAAAACGAGAAACATCTCTGATACACTGTTAATATTCTCACATGATTACAACGATGACAAAATCAATGAATTGGTGCGATCGATTGAATTTTGTAGAGTCCTTCAGGTATACCGAATACTGAATATGTGTTATCAAATTTAAAACATATCTTTATTTTCGTTTATTTTACTCTATAGATATTCTATCCGTATTCGATACAAAAACATAAACATGAATTTCCTGGCGAAGATCCAAACGATTGCCAACGAAATCTTAATCGAAATCAGTGAGTTTTTTTTTTCATAATACATCAAATTTTATATTTAGATGTAGATTCAGAAAAGCCGGCCGCACGTGTGTTGCTAATAGCTAATATTGATGCTTTCTGAATGTGATTAACATGTGTCTTAAATGAGTGTTTTTGCTAAATTCGGAGTGACTTTAAAATGACACACGAGTTTGATGATTTGTTTTTTTTTTCTAAATTCGACTCCTACAGTAATCGATTTCAAATTTTTACCAATTAGAGCATTGGCGCGTAACTGTAACAACGCAAATCATCCGGATATGTATGGTCATTATCGTGAAGCCAAGTTCACACAGACAAAACATCATTGGTGGTGGAAAGCCAACCAAGTTTTCGATCACTTGGACGTCACGCGACATCACACAGGTTTAAGATTCAATACCAATACACAAACATTCAATGACAATTCAAGGAAAATAAGCGTAATAATTGATGTTTTTTTCTCTATTGAAGGTCTTGTTCTTTTTCTCGAAGAGGATCACTATGTGGCTGAGGATTTTCTATATATTTTGACGTTGATGCAGAAGCAAATGAAGAATAAAGTCTTTGCAAAATGCAATATTTTATCATTGGGAACATATCTAGATTCCATTGATATGTATCACCATCAACGCGCGAATGAGGTAGACAATTTAAACAAATGTTAGACGATTTAAATCGAACAATTTGAACAAATAGGTAAAATCAATGCCATGGATAAGTGTCAAACACAATATGGGATTTGCATTCAATCGCAGCACTTGGAACGAGATTTTGAAGTGCAAAAATCTATTTTGCACTTACGATGATTATAATTGGGATTGGACTTTGCAACACATATCTGAAGAGTGTCTTCCACAAAAATTTTACGCACTGGTCGCAACAAGACCGCGTGTTTTTCACATTGGCGAATGGTTTGTAATTTTGTTGTTTTTTTTTTTTCGTTATGAACAAATTCTGAAATGTGGTTTATTTTAGTGGTTTACATCACGAAACACAGAATTGCAAAGCGGATCATATTGTAGCACAAGTTCGTAGCGTTCTTGCCGAAAATACATATGAATTCTATCCGAAAAAATTGCGGTTAGCAGTTGGCGTTGGTACAGGACCTAATTATTTTGAACCAAACGGCGGATGGGGTGATGTAAGAGATCACAATCTGTGTTTAAGCTTCACAAGTCAGAATAAAACAATCGATCTAAAACAGTTCAGCTGATTAAATATAGTGCATTGTATGGATATGAATTTATTGGGCAAAAATATAACAACGATCTCAATTATGCCAAATGAAATTTGCATTCGAGTATACATACAAATAAAACAGATGATGATGATAAACGGAACCAAAAAAACGATACTTCAAAATGATATTTAGCTGTGACAAGATATATTTGATGCATTTAGAAACTGAAACGCATAAATGTAACTAACGGAACCGAGTGAATTTATTCTTAATTTTAAATGAAAAGTGATGAAAATTTGATATGATATTAAAAGGCTATAAAGTTAATACTGTGAAAGTTTTTGTATGCCATTTTTTGCGAAAATCGATTGTATCGTTGAAAAAGCTTGCAATGAATCGTAATAAAAAACAACGCTTTATTCGTGTTATTTTAATAGCAATTGTGATAGTTTTTGATACATATTGTACGTACAATTGTAAGTAAGCTCGAAAATATTATTTCTATTATTGAACATTGTATATATTTATTATTTAGAGAGCAAATAAAGAAAAATCAAAAAAAGATCAAAAGAAGTTTCTCTATGTGCAGATTTCAAAAGTGAACCATCTCACATTGAAGACATAATTAAAAATATCGATCATCACAATACGCTGCAGCCGATTCTGAATGAAGATCGCTTTGGGCCATTACACAATGATTCGCCGGTCATTGTTGTGCAAGTGCACAAACGAATCGAACATTTGAGATATTTGATTGATAGCTTGGCACGAGCTAAACACATTTCCAACACACTTGTAATATTTTCACATGATTATTATGATGAAAGTATTAACGAACTTGTACGGCACATAAATTTCTGCAAAGTTTTACAGGTAAATTTACAATTTTTCAACTGCTGGCGCTTCAGATTTGTATAATTCTTGCAGATATTTTATCCATTTTCGATTCAAACGCATGAGCACAAGTTTCCCGGAGACGACCCAAACGATTGCCCCAGAACTATCAATCTACAAGAGTGTGTATCGAATTTAAATCTATTTTTCTTCAATAATACCTTTCCAAAACTCATTAGGACGTAGGAAATTCGTTTTTCAATCCATTTTTTTTATTTTGTAATCAACTATACCTGAGCAGAGCAATTCAGCGTAAATGCAACAATGCACGTTATCCAGACACCTATGGACACTATCGTGAAGCCAAGTTCACTCAGTTGAAACATCACTGGTGGTGGAAAATGAATCGTGTTTTTGATCAGTTGAATGTTACTCGACATCACACAGGTGAATCCAATCGTTTACGCACTTCTTAAGTATTCGGATCTAAAGGGACTTTGTGAATAATGTCAGGTCTTGTACTATTCATCGAAGAGGATAACTATGTGGCTGAGGATTTTCTACACGTTTTAATGTTAATGGAGAAAAAAACGGATGAAATATGTCCAAGATGTAATATTTTAGCGCTGGCAAGATATGAGCCATTTTCAGAAACTTACTTTAATCTGGAACATCTGGATGAGGTTTGCATTAATTGATTTTAATAATAATCAATTTAAAAAAATCAAAGCTTGAATTTCGAAAATAGGTAGGGATCGCTTTATGGAATCATTTTTGGGGATTTGCATTCAAGCGAAGTACTTGGCTTAGCATTGCCAAATACTCATTGATTTTTTGTACATACGATGATTATAATTATGATTATTCAATTCGCTATTTATATCAAACATTTCTTCAAACCGAAATTTACACAATGGTAACAAATCAGGCGCGCGTATTTCACACTGGCATATGGTTTGTGTCATTTTTTCTAATTTTTTCAATTGAATTTAAAATTAAAGTGTTGAATATTTCAGTGGCCTTCATCATGAACACAAAGAATGTAATCCGGAACAAATTGTAGTAAAGTTACGAAAAGCACTTGACCAGAAGTCACATCAACTTTATCCAAAAAACTTGACAGTTCTATTTAATTATGATAATTTATTAAACCAAGATGAACCTCTGACAGTAAACGGTGGATGGGCCGACGTACGTGACCATGGACTTTGTTTGGATTTCAACAAGAGAAATGACTAAAAATACATTTTTTTATTATTTATTTGGAATTGCCAAAATAACAATTGTTTATATTAATCCACAGCTGTTTTTTCCGATTTTTAACCCGATGTTAATTCAACGCGAAAAACTTAAGGTTGAAATCGCCGTTGTCAATCGTTTGTTCCCACTTAAAGACAGCCATTTTTAAAGTCATAACTTTTTTTTTATGTAATAATGAATAAAGGCAAAAGTATACAATTGAGTAAACAATGCATACAAATGTGCTGTGCAATCGTTCTTAACAAAATGTCGTACGAAGATCGAAATTAAATGCTTATATTTCATCTTTTTAGTTCGTGTGATTGTATATGAATTGAAAAATACGAAGGCTCGCTCTTGCATACGTACAGGCGTATGACGGCACAAATGTGTAACATGGCATATATTATTGATGTATCTCTATAATATAGTCTAATCAGCAAGATGGATAGAGTGCGTTACTCTCGCTAGTCATCTCACTTGTTTTCTGTTATGCTTCGTGTTTCTTTTTCATTTTGCCGGCCGCACATTATTTAGTCAATGCAGAATGTAAACAATATGCGTGTATTTCGCATTCGTACATCCATCTTAAATACATAGTTCTCTGGTGGATATGTGTGAGCACATATTTTTTTTCTTAACAGAGTATTCCAGAACCTTCTGCGAATTTCACAAATGTTAAATCATATTGCCTGTCTGCGACGCAGTTTGATTTTGAACATTACTCTCTATCTCAAAACAGTTTGAACGTTCGAAGAGTTAGGACGCGATTTTGATCGAAACAAAAGAGAAGTTAATTTTTGAAGATTAATCAAAAGTGAAAAAAATGAATCGAATCATCGATGCTGAAGGATACACTAATGTCTATGTGGATGGTTCTTGGTTGAGCGCTGGTTCGCCTGGTTCTGCGGCTGGCTATGGCATTTTTTGGGGCCCAAGTGATCCAAAGTAAATAATTCTTGCCTTTTTAATAATTTTTACAATAAAAATCTTGTGCAATGCATCTCAAAGTGATACAAGCAGTTGAACCCAACAATGCAGTTGAATTTAGTGATAAAGGCGATGAAGAGTTCATTTAATTAAGCGATAAAACTAATCTGTATTGCTTTAATGTTTATTTATATAAATAGTGATTATTGCGTAGTGTTTTTTCATACTACGTATTTTTTGAGTTGATTTTTTATTTTAAATATTTTGTATGTTCGTGAATGAATATAAACACAAGTTTAATTATATTTTCAATAGCAATCGAAAAGGGCAATCGCCAAGCAATGCAACGAACAATGTTGCTGAAATTCAAGCTGCTACAATTGCCATCAAACAAGCGGGACAATTGGGCATTCGAAAATTGCGCGTTAATACGGATTCAGAAGTGCTATACATGGCGGCCACACAATACATTCCGAAGTGGAAACAAAATAATTGGATGAGCCTGTACAACATCTATTCACCGATTAAAAATCGTCGCAATTTCGAAGATTTGGACATCGCGATGCGTTCGTATCCGCAAATGGATATCAAATTCAGGCATATACCAGGACATTCTGGAAATCAATATCATAACGCCGCTGATCGTCTGGCCAGAGCCGGTGCTGAATTGCACCAGTATTAATCAGTTCATAATGTGTTTGATTCTACTGAAAAAATACATCTCATTCAAACGGCCATTTTTCTCCTGTCATAAAATTTTAGATTTCGCTTTCGTTCCATAAAGTAATATAATGATGTTATAAATTCAAAAAACGCACCATATAGCACTGCGAACATAACAAATAATATAGCATTGTGTCACACCTTTCATAAAATAAAATTCATTAAGACGCGCTCATAATTACAGTAGTAGCGTTGGTATGGATGCAAAAAAAAAATCATATATTTTATTATCTGAAATAAAAATTCATTCTACTCCAAATAAATGTTAATAAAATATAAAAATTATTCTTTTTATTCCGAGTATTTTATTGCAATTAATAAGGTGAGTAATTTAATATCTTCATATAAAAAGTAACTGCGCAATTCAATGAAAAAACCTTTGAAATGCAGGATTTTCAAACTTATCAAATGCTTTACTATTAATTTTGTTAGTTTAAAAAAAAAAAAAAACAATAATTTGAAAATTTCTTGTTTTCATATAATATTTTCTTTTTGAAAGCATTTGCATAGGTATAGCCTATAGTCGATTTGAAGTTTCGAATTGCTCCTGTATTTTCTTTGGCTTTGAATATAAATCATTTGATAAAAAGATAAACGTCACGTATCTGATAAAAAATTGCCATATATAGGATTAGAACTCACGCTTCATCAAACGGTGGCGCCTTAAACATGGGTAACGTGGCCGAGTGGTCTAAGGCGCTGGTTTTAGGCACCAGTCTCCTCGGAGGCGCGAGTTCGAATCTCGCCGTTGCCAATATTTTTTTTTTGCTAAACAAGAGATTTATTTTTTCTATATATCTATAACAGATTTTAGATATTCAATTGGAAAAGTTTATATAATATTGATAAACTATTATTATTATAGATTTGAACGAATATACATAGTTTTTTAAAAGATTCATTTTGTAGTAACTGTTCTGCTTAAAATTCGTTTTGATAATAATTATTATCATTTAATTTTTTTTAAATATCTTAACTGAACAAAGATAATGGTGTTTTTAATTGGCTCATTAAGAGGATCGGTTAAATAAATAAATAATAATAATGTCCATATATATTTGACCCCATTCAAAATTCCAATGCAAATAATTGTTGAAAATAATGGAATAGAAGAAATTGATTGTGATGAAGGATTTAAATTTTTTTATCGCAAATGTTGCTTGCCGTAATTGTTGTTATTCAAAACACTTGTTCATACCTAAAACACAGGCTAGCTAATTTGGAGACGTAAACAGAACTTAAATTTCTCTATATAAAATATACCAATTGAATTTTCAAATAGAAAAATTGTTCATTTCAAAGGAATATATCAAAATTATGTATCTTCTTATAAGTAACAAACATTTCAATTCAATTGGCTTCTCAATGTTTTCGCACAACAACTTATTCCTTCTTTTCCTTTCGTTTCTCTTTTTTCGTTTTCTTCTGCTTCCTCATGAAGATCTTCAGTTGTACGTAAACAATCGGGACGTAAACAATTATCGAACATTTTGTAAGTTTGCTTTACAGCCTCTTCTACATCTTCTCGGCGATATATACGATCTTCGACATTCTCTGCAGCGTCATATTCCTTACGCTCTTTTTCCAACACCACTTCCAAGTGCACTTACATTAGTAAGCTGCGTAAAAATGTAGAATTTGCCAAAAAATCATCGTAAAATAAGAAGTGAAATCGAAGATGTGTTTAATTAAAATAATACCAAAAATATTTAACGCTTTTCAAAAAAAATGTTCAAATTTAATTATTTACTCGACTTCGTTGAAGTTGGGAGTTATTGACAACTCACTGCTTTTTAATAATTTTTTATCGAATCGTATCGAATATATAATAGCTGTGACATTTAATTTGAATATTCTCAATGTCTGCATCCTTTACTTACTTTATTACGTAAATATATTTGCGTTGGTAATGATGCTTATTAGATATTTACTTAAAATGTGTTCAAATTCAAAACTATAAAAAATACAATAAAAAACCGTGTTGAATGGCGTTAAAATGGTGGATTGAGTAAGTGGGACGGAAACATATTTGGAAAATTCAATCATGTAATTCAAAAATAAATTTCCAATACAGGTGATCTATTTTAAGCGTTGAAAGTTTTTTAATGCCGTCTGTTGAATTTGCGTCATTGTACACATGTACACGAAAAAACCGTAAATTTCGAGAAATTTCTATTCTATTTAAGTCCATTCATTCGTGTCCATTCTCTATTTTATCCACCTACGATTGTCGTCATTGACTGATATTCGAATGGGGCTTAATTGGAACGACTGTGTCGACCACTGAAATAAAAGGACATGTTACATTCAATTTACGTTCATTCATTCAGAAGATTTTGGAAATAAAAGAAGAACAGCGAACAAGTCAAAAAGTCGGAAGTGTTTCTACTGAGACATTCTTGATAGTGATATTGTGACATATACGAGTATTAAAACAAAATTTGTGATATAAAATATTCTTTGCAAAGCCATGGAAGAAATTAAAATCGAATTTGGCGACGATGTTAAGAAAGCATTGTTCACAGTGGTTGAAGATCTGTTGCAAACGAATACATTTAAAGTTCGAATTGAACATGGTTCGGCAAAAGGTATTGTGAACTTGGTTTGTTTGTTTTTTTCAATGAATAAAATCCACTCAAAGTACAAATTGTCATAGGTGACAATTTTATTGGGATCGTTTATCGCATCATTTTCTGTACTGCAGATGAAAAACACACGTCGAAATTGTTTCTCAAAGTGGCACCACGAGACGACATCAAACGCATTCAATATCAGGCACGATTGTGTTTCCTCAGAGAGATTTACGTTTATGAAAAGGTATTGCTTTTGTTTCACATTTAACAACGAAAAAGTGAATGAATTTATTCAGGCAAAACTAAAAATAAACATTTTTTTTTTAAATCTATATACAGATTTTGCCGTATTTCCGAATTTTCCAAGAAGCAAGAGATGTACCCGTCGACGAAGAGGGTTTCCATGAATATTCCCAATGTTATAAATCCATCGACGCGGAGTCATCCGAGTGCCTATTTCTTCAGGATTTGACAAATAACAACTTTTCAATGATAAACAAAGACGAATTGACCGTCGAACATATTTTGTTGGTGATGAAAGCACTGGGAAAATTCCACGCAGTCTCGTTTGCAATGAAGGATCAAAAACCTCACCACTTTAGAAAGAATGTCGTTAAAAACCTTGGTGAGCACTTCTATAGGCATGGTCACAATTTGGATTTGGCACGAATGATCAACGGTGCCGCAATGAATGTTATTAATTCCATCACCGATGATGACGACGATGACTTATTGGAAGCAGTTTTAAAATTGTACGAGCGTGAACAATACGATATGATGGTGAATTGTGTCGATGGAAATGAAGCTGAACCGTATTCGGTTGTCATACACGGTGATTTATGGTCTAAGAATACACTTTTTCAATGCAATGATGAAAATGTTCCGGAAAAAGTGTGTTTCATCGATTGGCAAATGTGTCGTTATGCGTCCCCTGTCCTTGACATTTTGTATTTCATATTTTTGAATACAACACGAGAACTTCGCGGTCGAAACTATAACATTTACCTCAAAACGTATTACCAGAGCCTTTCGAGACATTTGATAAGGTAAATACAATTTTTCGATGTGATAAGCACGTGTGAGAAAATTAATGAACAACACTTTTTCAGACTTGGTTCCGATCCGGTCGATGTATTTCCATTCAGTGCACTACACGAGCAACTACAAAAGTTTGGAAAATTTGCCTTGATACAAACTTCATTTTTACTTCCCATTTTAATGGCAGAAGCTGATTTACAGTCGGACAATAATAATGGGTCAACAGAACTATCCGATGATACGAAAAATGTATTAAGAGACATCGCATTAGATATTTATAAGCTTGGATATATTTGAAACAATCATAATTTATATTTTATAAGTTACACGGCATATCATGCTATTTCGGTGAAATCAGTGGTTTGGAATTATTTACTTGATTTAGCCGTACAACAATAGTGTACTTTATCATATCGTTTGAATTTATGTTGGTTAAAAATATAATTTGCCTTTTCTTACATTAACGCAACATTTATTATGTATTTATATATAAAATATCCGAACATGTCATATTTCGAAATAATTAAATCAAGTATAAATGTAATAAGAAACGATTTTTTTATAATAACTGTTAAAAATCACAAGTATAAGGAATGAAATAAATGAATTTAATAGCCCTCAAACCATAGGCTAAGGAAATAACTGATACAATTACTCATCTTAACGATTATCAAATTTTCTATATATTATGACATAATTCTGCAAAGGTCAGTGATATAGATTAGATACACTGTCTACAATCTTTTAGATTAAGTCAACTTATTTCACAATCTATTGAAATTTTGTTAATAGGCGCCAAATTCCATAAATATATTAAAGAGATAGCGAAGTCTTTGATGTCTGACTCATCCAACCTATTTCACTTTTTCAATCTAACCCATATTGTCTATAAAGCTATACTATATAAACGAAATCACAGGAAATTTGATTCAATTCACCCTGCAAATGGTCGCAGTTTGTTCAGAGAGTGAGAATACAACATTTGAAAAATAAGTCCGGTTCAATAAATTGATTTATCAATGGCATCATTAAGTGAATGGAAATTCGATTTTTTTTCATTTTTGAATTGTGTTTGTGCATTAGTATATTTATTGAAAAGCATTTACAACTCAATGGAAGAGCCATTTATTGGTGTCAACGGTGATATTCATTCCAATAAGGATTACGATACTATGGATACAAATCTTTCTGCGTCAAGTGGTGAGAAGTGGAAAAATATGCGAAGCAAACTGACACCAATGCTCGATTTGGAACATTTAAAGGGACTGATATCCACAGTGGTTGAATATGGATTAAAATTACAAAATTATCTGGACAAACTGGCTGAGCAGGCTGAGAAGTTAAAAGTGTATAAAATTCAAACAAGTTCATCGAAAAATGTCATTGTTTCAATTAGCTTTGCGATTGATATAAATTGTGCCGAGATTCCATATGATGAATCTCAAGAAATTAACTGTGAAGCGGCGAAACAGTCGTTTTTCAATATACCTCTTACCTTTGTACAACACAAACTTACGGACTATTTGCGAATGAAAACCATTTTTGACGAAGAGCGTGGAGAAACTTATGTTGTCGGTTCTTGAAGGTAATATGGAAGATCGTGAAAAAATTGTTATTCGCAAAGATTTCTTCTCATCACTACTTCAGTTGAGAGGTTCATGAACTGTTCAGTCAGATGACCTTTAAGTGATTGGGACTTAATTTTTGGAAATTCGATTCTATGAAATCGAATCCCACAGAAATTAGCGAAAGTAACCAAAAAAAAAAACTACTGAAAAGGAGCTGAAGTATTCATTTGTTAGTCAGGGACGCCACTCTTTTTGACAACCCAAAGCAATTTGACTTGAATCGACTCAACGAATAGAACAACAATTGTAGTGGACATAAAATTGTTGAAAACGCAAAAATTCCACCTTTTACGCGTTTTAAATACGAAAGAAGAGAGATATCTGTCAATAAATCACAAAAACAATGAATTTTTTTAAAATTTGAATCTTTCCGCTGAAAACTTTATTTTTCTCAATTGCAAATGACATTTTTCGGTTGTTCAGTTTTTCAAGATATTAGAGTGTTTTCTAGTTCATTAATGAAAAAGTGGGAAAATATTTGAAATTTGGGTGGTAAATAGAATAGAATATGGTGTCCTTTAAAATGGTTGTTTAGTTATTATTCATCCCAAACGTCGGGCGAGGCCAAACGTCGAATCTCGATTAAGCTCAAATTGGTGTCGCCATTTTTGGTTGCCCATTTGGTGGGCAAAAAAATATTGTCAGTTGCATAAATCAGTACTTTTCGTGCTCCGGCCAACTTGGTGCGTTCTTCATTAAACATTTTCAAATTCATAGCTCCATCGTTGCCAATTCTTGAATACACTTAAATTTTGTTTAACTTCAACGAACGATGAACGAATGGCAAAATGAAATCGACGCTTTTATTATTTCCAAAGTATTTTGAAATGTAAAGACGTTGAAGTTTCACAAGACCGTTTGCCAGCAGCTCCATATCAGCGACATTCGATCCATCCGATAAGCATATCTTTAGTTCTGTCAGACTGGTTAATTGAGGTAAATTATAAATGTTATCAAACCTTCCAATGTCTAATGACCAAATCCCTTTGAGCAAAACCAAAAAAGCCAGCATCTTCACTACCATCTCGACCGACTGGATGGGATAACTTTTGCTTTTTTTGTGGACGATCCATGACAAGTGACTTTTATTAACTAAGTAGAATAGAACAAGAAATTGAAAAATTTTCCATCCATTTTATTCTATCCGGCAATTAATACATAATTCATCAATTATAATTTAGATGTACAATTGATGTCTATTATAGCTAAAATGAGTTAAATAACTATATCTTTTCTTCGCTTGAAATTGTAATTTGTAATACTTACCGATGACCGATCAATCAAAATTCACGTTGTTTCAACAAATTTACTGTAGTAATAGCAAGTTCCAAGAAGATTCAAGTAAATTTTGTAATTTTTTGCTATAAAAAAACTGTAATTTATGTAGAATATTCTGAACTTTTTCGCTACATAAAAAATGGTGTCGAAAAAGAAATGAGCAAACTTGTATGACGTGTTTCTCCTTTGAATGTTCGCAAGTAAGAGAACGTCGCCTCGTTTTCATGTAAATGATCTAGGGTTGTGGTTGTACATTACACAGCTTTGTGCAAGTGAGATCAACGGTGTGTTTCATACCAGCATATTGGTGGCGTCTCTTTCTTTTTAATGCACTTTGATCTAATTTCATAAAGACGAAGGATTCTATAGACATTCGTATACAATACATTTGTATATGCAAAAACACTGTATACACATGACTGTGGAAAATATGCAAAAACCGTTTACCAATACATGCGCGCACTACTAAGCTTCATCTCTGTGATAAGTATTGTGCTGCCAAACACACAACAGCTACTCTGCTTCGATTGTGTAGTGATGTATATATACAATCGCATTGTGCATTTGTGCATTGTGTTGTTCAGTTTCTATAAAAAATATTATTGTGAATGACCTGCTAACGCATCGAAAATTAAATTTAAATAAAAATGTGATCAAAGTCATCAAGCGCTCAATGTTCATATATGCAAATAAACAATAATGAAATTGAGCAAGGTACAAATTATTATATTGAATTTATTATGGAAGCATTTCCAATTCTTTCCTCGCTAGCTAGCGGCTAGACTCATTTAGTTCAGTTCAATTTTTGATTTTAGTACTGATTAAAGTAAATCTACTGTACTTCTGCAAACAAATATATGCAATATGTGGCAACAAATCGATCCATAAATAAAAAAGTAATTTAAACAATTCACTGGGTATTTTAGCGGACAAAATCAACATCAGATATTGTGAGAAAAAAGATGCACTTTCAGCCCTTTTCATATATAATTTTTTTTTTCTATAAATATTGTAGGCAATTTTACATTTGTTCAAATTTCTTTACATTTTTTTTGTTGAAAATTCTTCACAATAATCACGATAAATTAATTTGATTGCACAGTTTCTATTTAGCTTAAATCTAATATATATTGCTATAATACAACTCTTTTAGAATATATTTTGCTTGCCTCTTGGCACTTAAATTTCATTTACTAGCTAAATGTATGGAAGCGTATATTACACTGGAAATGCTTAAATTTTGGTTAGAATATGATTCAAATTCAAAATCTGCGGTAAATCGATCTCTTCAAGGTGTGTCTCATCGTATTTATATGTCACATTTAGTGGGTGAAAATACGCTTCAACCATGGTGAATGTGTCGGTCGGGGTCTGAAAATTAAAATCGTTTAGTAATTTCGTTTAAATTCTTGGGTAAATTTAATTCATTCATGTCAAAGAAACCATTACCTTGATCGGTCGCTCATTTAAGGCAGTCGTCAACTTTTCGGTGAAGGCCGGACTGGGCCGGACGAATCGGCTCCTCGCAATCATCTAGCGTATACGACTTCAAAATCTGGAACAAAAACATAATAAGTCGATGTATATAAATGTATTAGTTTTTTCAAATGGATATTGTGTTTGGATCGTGTGAGATTATTAGCAATACATATAGATATATTATTGTTATTGTTTATGCACAATGTTCCAAGATTTTTTTAATGATATTTCATTTGCTTTTTTATCATTTCATTCTTCCTTCGGTTGTTTTATTTTTGTATTTAAACTTAAATGGGTTGACAAATATTCAAAAATTTAACCAGAATGAATCAATATTTTGGGTATTTTTGATGGTTTGCGTGGGAACAACGGTGTAAGCAATTGTGACTACATGTGAGCTTCCTCTTGATGATCTTTCTTTTCGATTTCGTCCAATTTTTTTTTGTTTAATGAAGTAAATATCTTCTTTCAAATTAGTTTTATAGAAATATATTTTAATTTTTGGTTTTTGCAAGAATGTGCCGTGGTAAACATTTATGTCATCTGAAAAATTAAATTCGCATTACGAAATGTATTTTCATATTTATATTTGTTCAGAGGCAAAAACTATTGAAAATTGAAAACAAAATATTACAAATCAAACATAAACAGAAGAGAGTATTTGCAATAAATAGGTGACTTGAATAAACATAATTAACGATTATCCAAGCACAAAAAGCCATTTACTTTGGATTATTTATTTTGTTGATGTTTATTAAAAATTTGATTTTGTGTGTTGGATTTGGATATTTAAACTGTTTTAAAATTTCGAATAGATATAGTATTGAATTCATTTGACTTTTGATTTTCTTGGAGCATCGTTCACTCACAAACGTACCCTCTCGTATATCTTGTTTTCGAAGCGAAATTGATTGGAAAAATATGTCTGGTGTCATCATTGAAGCACATTATTACTGCAACGGTGTCAATCATCCTGTGGAATCTACTAGACGGTACAGGTTATACAATCATCCCTCTACTGATCCGCTTGCAGCATGTCCTACATGTGGAAAAGTGAACGTTCCATATGAACAGGTAAATTGTCAAGTAATATTTTGAAAAACCAAATATTTGATTTTCTGCAAAATGTCGACCAAATTTTTTTTGAAATATTGTAAGTTTGGATTCTTTCAATCCGATCACAAAAGGATTAATTTTATTCAATCAAAACTCAATATGAATAGTTTTGTATGCCTTTTAAACCTTTCTATTTCAGAAGAGGATATCATATTAATATTATACATTGGTTTCCCGACGAAATGGAGTTGAATATTGTTTTCTTTGTAATGAAGTAAATAAAGCACAATTCCATCGGCACAGTGCCGGAGAAATACTATGCATTTTATTCTTTTTTAAATTAGTTTTACAGACTGTAGTTTTGAATCTGAAAAAATGAATTACTTGCATTTCTATCATTATGTTTGTTTAGACACAAAAACTTTTGACAGAATACAAAGTCTGACATAAACAGAAGAGGTAACAGTTTTTTGTGACTTAAATAAACATATTTATTGATAACGCAAGCGAAAAAGCGCAAATAAATGTTTATTAACAGTTTTGTTTTGTCTGTTCGATTTGATATTGAAACTGTTTTAAAATGGATGGATATAGATTTTGTGTTCATTTCATTTTGATTTGATTTCCTTGGAGCACCGTCCACACACAAGCGTACTCATATCTTTTTTCGAAGCGAAATCGATTGGAAAAATATGGCTGATCGCAATATTGAAGCATATTACTATTGCTTGGGTATGTTCCATCCACCGACCCATAGCAGAAGTTACCGTATCACTGTGAATATATCCAGTGACCTGTTAAGGATGTGTCCAGTCTGTCGAGTTTACAGTTATCCCAGTCGAACTTTCGAGGTAAGTTATGGTAATTTTGGCGATCAAAACAAAAAACATTTTTGACAATATTTCACAAAATCGTTCATGAAAATCTTGCAAAATTTGGTTGTTTATATTTAACATCTGAAAATCTCCGTATGAATCATTATTAATGCTTTTTAAAAATTTCCATTTCAGAGGCTATAAAACGCAAAAGTGTACTTTGCTTTTGAAATTACTTGCGGAATGAAACCAACCAGCCAATATTCAAAAATTGATTCATTCTATGCATTAAATAAAGCATAATTCTATTGGCAAACTGCCATCTAAATTTGTTGCATTTTTTTTCTTCATTCCATGTGCATTAGTAAATCAAGCGTTTATTTTCAGTGGCCCTGAATTTCATTTAATCATACAAAATTGGTGTGTTTACAGACTAGTCGCCACTTATAAATATTTGGTTGGATGTCAAATTATTAAGTGCGAATAATTACAATATATTTAATATTACACATTGTGTATATCGAACATAATCAATTCTCAAAATGAAATAATACGATTGCCTTGCTTACAATAATCAAAATAGTAAGTGCCATCTCAAATATACGATAACGACGGTATAAACATGATTAATAAATATGCAAGAGTTTCAAATTGTCCTTTATCTTGGATGAATCATTATTTTAATTGTTTTTTCTCGCTCTTTTGCTTTTACTATTAAAATCGACTTGAAATTACAATATAAATATTCGAATATAAAATATAAATATTGTTTTGAATTTCAACTCATCTCATTTTCAATATATTTGGAGCAACGATTTTGTCAAAATTTAGAATATGCCTCAAAAAGTGGACGAAATAATAGCATATTACAAATGCAACAATCCTCAACATTTGCACGGAAGAGATTATTTTATAATTACATATCCATCTCATGGACAATTCGCTTATAGTGGAAAATGTCCGTATTGCGGCAATTATGTGAACCGGCCATATCGTACGGTAGGTCAGATTTAAATGTACATTGATAAATGTACACAGATATGAATGTACATTTAATTTGACAAACATTTAACGGATGAGTTATTTTTGATAATTTATTTCATTGCATTCTATTTCAGGAATTTATCTACAAAAAAGTCAATGATTGACAAAGACAATCTCTCTTTTAAACCACTGGAACGTGAACTTATAATTAAACATTCATATTGTTTTAGTTAAAGAATTAAATAAAGTATTCTTCTCCAAAAACAATTGCTCAATTTTGAATACTTTTTTAAGTAACCAAAATAAAGAGAAACTTTTCATTTTTGTTATGAAACATTTTACATGCCAATTGGATATATAATTTGAACATATTTTTAGAAAATCGATATATTTTTTAAGCTTAAGAACACTGGAAGTTCAAATGGATAAAATAAGTTCAAGTACGTCAAAGAGTAATTATAGTGTGACCGGTAGAATAAAGTGCGTTGTTGGATAGAAAGTGCGTCCATTCAGTTTATTGATTCGAGTGTGAAAACAGTTTCTTATCAAAAAGCGTAAATTTCCAAAATACTTCTGCTTTCTTCATACAAACGTTGTAATAAATAGCATACAATGATTTTTGGATAGGATAGATTCGTAAGATCTCCGCAAGATCCGGATCCAAGCGTGCGTGCGCTGCCGCATGATGCATACATATATAATACGCACGCAAATTCATTCTTCTTATTTCGCCTACTTTGACTCGCATGCCATAGCAATACGAAATAACGAATGTATGTATCATGCGGCTACGTAGGCACGCTTGGATCCGGATCTTGCGGAGATCTTACGAATCTATCCTATCTAAAAATCATTCTATGATAAATAGTGCTTAAAAAATGTACGGAGGCTTAATGGATGTACTGAACGATGTAATTCGGGACGCTTTGTTCGAGGTTGTGGGCGATTTGTTGAGAACCGACAATTTTCGAGTTCGCATTGAGCCTGGATCAAAAAATGGGAATCGTAATCCAAAAATGATGTATTTTTATCGGGTAAAAGCAATTAAATTAATTTAAAGGTAATTAAACTTTAATTATTTTTCAAAAAAAAATGCAAGGTGATAATTTCATAGGAGTTGTTTATCGAATCCTCTTCAGTTCGGCAGACGAAAAACAATGTTCGAAATTATTTCAAAAAATTGCGCCTGAAAATGAGGAGCAGAGAAAAAATGTGCATGCACAAAAGTGTTTTCAGCGGGAAATATACGTGTATAATGAGGTAATTGCTTGTAAAATTCAATTTTTACATCAAATGAATCTGCTTAAAACTGAAAATATTGATCAAAGGTTCTACCGTATTTCCGTGAGTTTCAAGTGTCACGAAACATAATCGTTAGCACCGATGGATTTTTCGAATACACTCAGTGCTATAAATCACTTGATGACGCGCCATTCGAGTGTTTGTTTCTTCAAGATGTGTCGGAAAAAGGTTACGAAATGATAAACAAAGACGATTTGACTGTTGAACATGTTCTTTTGGTGATAAAAGCACTTGGCGAATTCCACGCAGTTTCGCTTGCATTGAAAGATCAACAACCCGATAAATTTCGGCACATTGTCAACGGACTGCGTGAGCAACATTTCAAAAATGGTTATAATCCAGACTTGGAATTATTTTGTAATAATGGTGCCATGACCATAGTCAATGCCATCACTGATGATAGTGACGTTCACCTTTTGGAAGCGTTGCTTAAGTTGTACGAACAAAATCAGTTTGACACTCTGTTGAATTGTGTTGACGGAAATGAGGCTGAACCATATTCAGTGATAATACATGGTGATATTTGGTCAAACAATGCGATGTTCAAGTTAAACAACAAAAAACAACCCCGGAAAACATGTCTTATCGATTGTCACGCTATGCGTCACTAGCTTTGGATATCGTTTACTACATTTTCATTAGTACAAAGCGAGAGCTCCGAGGTCACAACTATAACACTTAGGCATACCATGAAAGTTTGACGAATCATTTGATAAGGTAAAATTTTTTCCATACAGTGCATTACAAGATCAGCTGCGAAAGTTTGGAAAATTTGGCTTGGCAAATGCTTCAATCTTATTGCCTATCATGGCAATGGAGGTTGATTTATCTACAAATGGGCCAAACAATGGTAGAAAACGAAAAAACAGAGAAACATGCCACCAAATTATCCGACGCATTTAATGAAAGTATAAGGGATATCGTGGCTGACATGTATCGATTGGGATATATTTAAATTTACTTTGTTTTTTTTTTAACATTCATTCCATTGAGTATAATAAAACTGGAACCCACAAAACACCCACATATTTCATATACTACCATGGTATGCATAGAGTGTATTTATTTCATTTTTGTTTATTGTCGTACGTATAAAAAGTCATATTTACTCTTGAATTAATAAAGTGCGTCAGTGTAAGGGAAAAAATCGACTAATTTTTGCTTAATAAATAGGAAAGCCTTAACTGATGATCCATTTTCATAAGCCAAGTTCAATAGTCATTATTTACATAATTTTTAGATTTATATAATATTTGATTTTATTTGAAATAAAATATACACATAAAGTCATTTTATACTGATTGGTATCTTTCACGATTGAAACTAAAACAATATAAATCTTCAGTGTGTTTTTTGATGTCCGAAAGCAGTTTGTCACAATCGTTTCGACCGATTATGATATTTTCTCCGAGTTTTACTTATAACGCTGCTGATAGATATGATCTATCCCTCTCCAATGAATTTCGTTTTCATTTCTTTTAGTTGTATGGTGCAGCGGGCCTGCACACCTACATACCATCAAAAGCTGTTGGAAACTGGTTTAATATCTTTATCGATCGTCACATACATATTCAAAGATTTATTCAACAGAGAGGCTATTTTACTCTATCTTAAACATAATAGTTAGTCTTTTGCTGTTACTTACCGTAGCAACAACATTTAAAATATACAAAGTCCAAGTACTTTCGCAATTTGGAAAAGTGACATGTTTTACCAACAAGCTCATATCAGCCATTGGTTATTGATTGTTATCATAATCGCACTGTTTAATGTAAGAAACTTTTTAGAAGAGAATGATATTTTTACGTATACAAAAAAATATTGAACCATAACTTAGTTTGCAGCGTCTGCTGAGAAGCCGTTATTTGCACCAAGAGTTCGTCTGTCCGATGGAAATTCGATTCCTGTATTGGGTCTCGGCACTAGCTGGGTAAAATTCTTTAATTAAATTGTGATGCTTTGTTGTGCTAAACATATTGATTGTGTATAGGCAAAACAGCCAGAAGGTGAACAGGCGATAAAAGATGCAATTGACATTGGATATCGTCACATTGATACTGCGTATGTGTATGGGAATGAAAAGGAAGTTGGAAATGCAATCCGAACAAAAATCGCTGAAGGTGTAATTAAACGTGAAGATATTTTTGTCACAACAAAGGTACATTAGATTACATAATAATGTAGCATTGATTGACATGAAGTTACTTTGAAATCGCTAATGATCAATAATTTCCTTTATTTTAGTTGTGGAACACGTTTCACGAACCGGATAGTGTTGCAAAAGCATTTCAAAAATCTTTGGATAATTTGAATATTACCTATGTTGATTTATATCTTATGCATAGTCCAGTTTCCTATCAGCGAATTAGCCAAGCAACCAATATGACAACTCAAGACTTTGATAACATTATTTTATTTCCACAAGATGCAAATGGTAAATCGTTGTGTACAGATATTGATTACTTGGGCACTTGGAAAGCGATGGAAGAGCTTGTTAAAACGGGCAAAGTACGTAGTTTAGGCGTTTCGAATTTCAACAGTCAGCAATTGGATCGTGTTATTACGGCGGCTAAAATTAAACCAGTAGTAAATGAAATTGAGTGTCATCCGAATTTTAATCAGAAAAAATTCATCGCATTTGCAAAAGCTAGAAACGTTACGATCATTGGTTATTCTCCGTTAGGTATTAATATTCTCTTTCTTTCTCTTTCTTTCTCTTTATCTCTCTCTCTCTCTCTCTTTCAAACGATTCTAAAATTTTACTCACCGCTAGGTAGACCATATGCCAATGGAGATCGACCAATTGCATTGAAAAATGCACAAGTTCAGGCATTGGCTGCTAAGTATAAGAAAAATCCAGGACAAATTTTACTGCGGTATTCATATCAGAATGGTGTCGTTGTCATCCCAAAATCAACGAATAAAGAACGAATTCGGGGAAATATTGATATTTTCGATTTTAACTTGAACGATGAAGACATGGAATTTATGGACAGTCTCAATGGTAATTCACGTTTTACAACTATATTGGACCGAGACGGAGACAACAAATACTATCCGTTTAACATTGAATTTTAAAGAAAAATCACAAACACAATCCAATGAGAAAATTGAGTGTATTTCGCAACTTTTTAAAAAATCAGCGGGTTTGAAGCTTATTTCACAATAATACGCAAATTGACAATAAACTCTGCTGAAAACTTTCTACACAAATTTGGTGTTCAATTACTTTGTTTATTCTCAAAATTCACATTTAAAAATTACAGGGCAAATCTCGGTCGCATTCCTAATGAATCATTTGATTTAAAAAATATGAATTCATCAAAATAAACAGTATCTCATATCAACAATCGAGCCAAATGATATCCGAAAAGGAAAAGACAATCAACTAAATTATAAATGTTAGCAAGGATTCAGTTTTTTTTATTGAGCCTGCATATTGAAACTCATATTCATAAATAGAACGCATAAAAAGACAATATTACTAGAGTAATGAAATTTTAACTTAACGAATAGGGAAGTATTGAATCCGTCCTGTAGACCAGCCTATGGTGAGAACAACATCGTCGTGTTTTTCATATTTTTCCTTAAAGCAAATAAACGATGGAAACTCATCGGCATCGTCGCCGCTGATGTTAAAATTGGGTGATATACTCAAAACGTTGCGATTAATCGATGTTGAGAAGACAGAAATCGATGATGTTGTCTTAAACATGACTGCAACAAATCTTCCAGTTTGATCCCAAACAATGCTCTTTGGAAGGCCGCCAATTGTACGTTGGCCGAACTGAACGGGTTTGAAATCGGCAATTGGGAACGATTGCTTTGCAGCAGCAGCGACTATTTGAAAAAAGCAAAAATATAAATAAACAAAAAATGTAAAAATATTTGGAAGTTTTTTTACCTCTATAAATTTGTTCTTCTAAGAAACAAAGGCTGTAGAGAATGGTGTCGGTCGTGGTAATGAAGAGCAAATGATTTGAACATGGTGACCATACAGCGGATTGAATGGCAGCGCCAGTTGGAATAGTCCAACGTTCCGGTGTCCACTTGCTGGTTTGCCATACCCGAAATACACTACCCGCTGTCGATGTAAATAAACGTTGATTGTCTGGCGACCACTTTGCTATGGCACACGGCATGCCAATTCGTTTCAATGGAATATTTCGATTTGTGTCAACATCCCAAATAATGGCATTCGGATCACTTAAACTGACGCTAACTAATAAAGATCCGTTACGGTTCCATTCCAACGAACTAATTGGATGATGGTTAATGCTACATTTGAAGGGAAAATACATGTATTATCAATGTTTATTGATTTTTACAGAAGGTAACTCACCTTGTTAAATGCAAATACTGAGATGTATGCCGTCCTGGTGTGTCCAGCTTCCAAATTATAATACCATTGTTGCAACCAACTGCCAATTCACCAGCACAAAGTGGACGCCATGCGAGACTTGTGATGCACTAAGAAAAAAAAACAACAACAAAAATATATATTAAACAAAACGTTAGCACTGCTGATCTTTGCTACAATTGGCGGACTTCATCATATAAAATTGTGGATTAAATCATAATTTTTGACATTGAGTCATATAGAAGTGGGCCAACTAGATAATATGTAACAGATATGGTATGTTACCTTTTGATAGCCATGTTTCAGTGTTGTTATGGTAACCGTGTCCGACGAGTAAATCTTAATATTATCATCAACCGAGGCGACTGCCAATTTGAAATAATTTGGATGCCATCGAATGCAACGAATCGGACTATTTTGCCAGTCTCTGCAAATAAAAGATAAAAATCGGTTCAAGTCTGCTTTTTTCTATTTTATCCTCTTATGGTGGGTGACTCACCTAGTTTGTACGAATTCACTTAAATTGTTCACATTTTCATTATTTCTATACGGCCAAAAGATTTGATTCAAATGCTTGAGTTTGCAAAGTGCAAAGTTTAGACCGCGAAAAAGATAGTTAATTGGTTGGTCTTGTGTTTGCAATTCAGCTTCACGTAATGCTTCAGTGGGTCCTTCTTCGAAGAAAATACGTGCCAAACGTTTTGGAAGTGGTTCATTTTGTGGTGTTATCAAAATTGCACGATCCAAATTATATCTCGAACCAAATGGAATCGAATGTGTCGAACCAATCAATCCTTCTCGACGAATATAGATGTCTGGATAAGTCGCTAACTAAAGGTAAAAAAAAACAGTTTGGTTAGAAATTGACATTGATTGAAAATAAATGCAATTTCAAACCTTTGTTGTGGACCTGTTAAAGTCATTGTTTATGATTTCTCCTTCGATGAGTGGCAATGTGCATGAAAAATGGTCCATTTTCAATTTAAAAAATTACTAATTTACACCGTAAACTCGAATGATGTGTTGACCGAAAAGTCGTTAGCACACTTTCAAATGTTGTCAATGGTGAAACGTCAAACAGCGTAACAAAGAAGAATTACTGCTTCAGAATCTGCCTGTTTCTAGGTATTAAACTCTTGTTGAAACTTCAACAAATAATTTACTTAAAATTTACAAATTAAAAAAAAAATGAGAAAAAAGATATATCGAATTAAATTGACAATTTTTTCAGTGACGCCTCAACCAAAATCGTATGCTGTTAATGTATGGCGCGTATTGTACGTTGTACATATGTTCGTTGAACTGTCAACGAAAACAAAATGTCAAAACTGCTCCATACAAATTCAGTGAATCTGTCAAAGTAATATGTGAACGTCGTTCATTAGTTAACCAAGTGTTGAATAGAATGCTGTCATTTTTCGTAATTGCAATTGAAATTATTGAGTTTTAGTATCAACCATCGCCGATTGATTGGAGTTGCAAAAAAAGAGGTAAGATAAAATCGAAAAATCGAAATTAACCAAAGAACAAAACCCATTAAATGTGATTCTATCAACAGTATTGCGAATAGTCTAGAACATTTAGTTCATTGATAGTATGTATTCTTTGTTATTTCGACGCCATTGTTATTGCCTTGTTTTGACTTATGGAGAAAGAGAGAGTGAGAAAAAAAATAACACACTCACGGCCAACCATTGAAAATATCAAATACTCATGAATTATTTACTAATTACTTACTGAAATTACATTGAAATTTACCTTTTGCATGAATCTTAAATATCATAGATGATTGAAAGTGATTTTAATGTATTTTGTTCTGTCAAAGCAATCGTATCATCTTTTTTCTGTTCAAAAATTGATTTTTGTTTACTTATTACAGTTCCACGAATTAACCACGTAAACGCCTAAATTTTTTTTGGGAAATTGAATTGATTCAAGATGTCACATCGTTCGCGGCGAGGTGATGACCAAGATAGGTCACACTCATCACACAGATACGAAAAATATGAACATCGTCATCGACGGGACGATTCAAGAGACCGAGACTATTATCATTCAAAGTCAAGTAGTTCACGACGTGATAAATATCGAAGTAGAAGTCGGTCACCGTCGTACAGTTCGAAAAGTTATACAAGACACCATCGCAATAGTCGAAGTCGTTCACCGGTTCACAGTTCAAGGCATTATCGTAGCCGAAGCCGATCGCCCGGATACAGCAATTCAAGGCATCAAGATGATTATCATCGATCTCATCATCGTTCGAGGGACCACAAAGACGACCACAGGGATTTGCGGGAGTCAAAATCTCGTGATTCACGCGAACATTCACAATCAAGATACAATATACATGAAAAATTTGATACAAAAAATTCAATTGATAAACCATACACAAAACACGAAGAGGTTGCATCGAATAATATGATTGATCGAGCAGGATCATCAGCCATATCAAGCCAAACCAATGAAAATGCACACAGTGAACAGCCAAAGACCATAACATACGATCCCAACGATCCGGATGCAGTATTAGAGGAGGAAAAACAACGTATTCAACGTGAAACACTCGAACGTTTACAAAAGCATTTAGAAGCCGAAGGAAAATCATACCCACCGAAAAAACCACAAGCCTCACATCCGATTTTTGCCAATGACGGCTCATTTTTGGAAATGTTTAAAACTATTCAAGGTAATATGCAGCAACAGCAACACTTTCAACAACAGCCGCAATTAATACCACAATCACAGAGTACAAGTGGTATTGCACAACCGACCAAACCAACGGCACCGACCTCATCAACAGCAAATTCAATTAATCGATTCCAACCGATAAATCGAAGACGTGGCGCAAAAATTCTAAAAACAGGCATCGTACAAAAGCAACGTGTCGTCGAAGAAACGGATGAAGCAACCGCCGCATCAAACGATTCATGGAATGCCTATTTAAAAGAAGTGAAACGATACAAAACCGTTACATGCAGCGATGACAACATGACACGTTCACTTGTCAAATGAATTTTGCGCGTGGCATTTTTTTTTTCTTATCTGCATGAATATTTCACAGTGGTTTGATTTGTTCCTTTTTTTGCAGTAATAAACGATTGCATTTGTTTATTTTGAGGCATTTTTCTTATACTATTTTACCACAATTTTACACTGTCTAATTGTAAATGAATTAAAATAAATAATAAATAATGTACAAAATTTCAATAAAAAAACAGTAATATTAAATTCTTATTCCTTTTAGGAACTCAATTTATTTATTATAACAACTAAATTTGAATTTAAAAAAACTGATAAAATTTATTCGCTAGACGAAAAATCATTTATTTCCCATTTGTTTCCATCTTTTTGTAAATTCTCATTGGCCGGTCCCAAAACACATTTTCCCGAACAACTGAATTCACTTTCATTGGTATTTAAATGTGACTCAAACACTTTTTCCAATTTTTGCTTATTTGTATTGATAATTCGATTGCGATGTCGGCTGAATATTTCGGTTGTAATGCCATAATTAAATTCAGCCATACCTTTGTGACCGGCCGCAATTGGCTTATCAATTCCCTGCAATACCGATAATTTCGCCTCGAATATCGCTTGTTCGTCGATTGTTTTCCAATTTTCACGCAGCCAATTGACAGCATTATCAAAGACATCAAGTGTTTCATTGCTTCGTGGATCACGATAGCTATAGAAACAGAATGTTCCGTTCATGTCTAATTTGGCGCCAGCACCATATGCACCGTTTTGTTCACGCACCACCGGCAATAAATATTTTGATGTTAATATTCTCGATAGCACTTGCAACGATGCATACTTGTTACTTGTATACGGAACGGTTAAAATGGCCTTTGAGCAATAGTTTACTGGTAAATTAACAACGTGATGCAATGCAGTAATTGAATCCGCATTTCGGCGTAGTTGTTTCGATTCGATTTCCTTTGGCGCTCTGATGCGATTCGGATCAATGCATGTCTTGATGTCGTTGGTAAATTGATTAAATTCTTTCATTACATCCGCCTTATGCCATTCAGATACATTCAATGCATATTTCATGGTACATTGGCTAAATAATCGCTGCGCTGTTTGTTGGAGTTGGGCTAGAATTTCGTCAGGTTTTTTGTCGGCGCTTAATTTTTTCATGTATTCGATGTGCCGAATTCCATTGAGCTGCGCTTTCAATTGCAGCGCTTCGGTGATTAATGAGGTGGCACCTTGAACTGCATACATATGACCAGTTTGTGCGATATCAGCTGTTAATGATGCAATGTATTCTTCGAGCAACACAGTGAATCGTTGCACATCAATCAATTGGAAATTCAACAAAAGTTCTTTTATCAAATTTAACATGTCGCCGGTGTTTTCATGCAAACAGTATGATCCAAATTGTACACCAACTTCATATTTGTTTACATCCGAAATATTATCGACAAAATTAAGATTGAATGAAATGCCCGATGTTTTTAAATTGATCATTTTATCGAGTTCACGATAGTCATAAGATTTGGTGCCCATTTTTGCAAAGACTTGTGTTAACAATGGCAACAACAGAATTTCCTCGTGTGACAAATGATCCGCATGACAAACGCCACGTGCATAAACAATGCCATTGGTATCGACAAGTGTCAGCTGAGTCGGAATCTTATTCAATTTGACATGCTGAATATTCAATTCTTCAACATCTTTTGATACATCATTCATCGTTAAACATGGCAGCAAATGGGTATTGCTTGGTATCTCTTTTTGTTCTTTGGCCAATTCATTTGTTATTTGGAATAATTGCTCGCGATCCGCTTCGGTGAGTTTTGAAACTTTTTCCGTCAACAATTCATCTTCCGATTTTTTCAATTTATCATCGTAAGTTTCATCTGGGCGCATTTTCACGGTCAAACGATGTTTATTGTCTTTAAAATATTCTTTTACTTTGCGTTGCAGGAATCCATCGTCGGCCAAATCACGTTTCAAATTCTCAAAATGCTTTCCAATATCCAATGCATTGAGAATGTCACTATCATGATTCCACGACGCAGTCAAACCGAATAGCAAATGCAAACCAAAGTTGGAAGTTTGATGTTTAATGCCCAGCTCAATGGAATTTATTATGCTTTGTACATGATCCTTATCAAAACCGTTTTGAATAACCCCGTCAACGGTTTGATCAAACACCTTTTCAACCAAGTCGAAATCTTTTGCGTTAATATTCTGCAGCGCGACTACAAATGTTGTATTTTTAAGTTGTGCATCGAATCCCGTTGAATCGCCAAATGAAGCGCCAGCAATTACATTTGGTTCAATCAATGTTTTGTAGAATGATGAATTGGGTCCCTTCACCAATAACTCACCCAATACGTTTAACAATAGAATTTCATAGGAATCTTTGATGTCGGCCAACACATACCCAATTGCCATTTGGCACTGTCGTTCAATGGGTGCGCCGATTGTATCAAAACGGCAGGTAACCTCTTTTTCTTGTGGCTCCGACCAACGTTCTTGCGGTGCGACTTTACTAAATGATGCATCCAATGGTTCATAACCAGCAAAATATTCTTCGTTCAAGTATTTCAATGACGGTAACACATCAAAATTACCATAGCTGAACACACGAGCGTTACTTGGGTGGTAATGTTTCCGATGAAATTCGATCAAGTTTTCCCAAGTTAATTTCGGAATGTCAACCGGCCAACCACCGGAAATATGACTATATGTTGTGTTTGGCAATAAATTATTCATGATGGCATAGCCCATAATTGCATTATTCGTTGCAAATGCACCTTTCATTTCATTAAATACAACACCCTTGAAGTTGATATCCGATTTAATATCGTTCAGATCACTATTTTCCAAGCGCCATCCTTCTTGCAAAAAATCAATATACCGTAAATTCGGATTGAAGACGGCGTCCAAGTAGATTTTCTGTAGATTACGGAAATCCTTTTCGTTTGTCGTTGAAAATGGATAGAGAGTATAATCTGGTCCGGTCATTGCATTCATAAAAGTGGCCAACGAGCGATTTATCATTTTAAAGAATGGATCACGCACCGGATACCGTTTTGAACCGCACAGTGCTAAATGCTCTAAAATGTGCGGTAATCCAGTCGAATCGTAAATCGGTGTTCGGAAATTTATCGAGAATAAATTGTTATTATCATTTCGATCGACGTGCAAGAATTTGGTGCGCAATTTCTCGTGGGTCAATGAATATGCGGTCATGTTATATTCTGGATAGAATTTTGATTCAACACAATTGAATCCATGGTATGTGGTGCCAATTTTCAATTTTTCTTTTTGCTTTGTGGTTGTTGTTGGAATGGTTTTGCCAGCAGCTACCACGGAATACGATCGAATTTGTACATTTTTGCTCCAGCCTCTTGCTAATACACTGAAATTGGAGGTTATGACGTAATTTATTGAGTTTTTTCAACAGAAAAATATCATTGAGAAATTGAAGTCGTCACTCACCGATTGAAATTACTGCACACGGACAGAAGCTGCATTTTGAAGTGAATTGCAAACTGAACTTTTGCACTTGAAAATCGTTATTGATAAGGAATTTCAACAAAACACAGTCTATTTACTAATGCAGGCCTTTCTTCAATATCGGCATTGATTTGACGTTTGACGATGGTTGTGGTCGATGATGAATTTCTTTTGCGTGACATACAATTGAAAACCTTTCAAAATACAAAGAGAACGATTGCATTTGTACGGTTTGGAAAATTATGCATATTTTCAAAAATGGATCGAAGATTTATGGTGTTATTTTTATTTGTTGGTTAACGACATACAAGGAATTTAATGTTGGAAACTCAATTTGATGAAATTCGATATTTCGTTAAGAAAGAAAACGATTTAATCTCATCAGCTTGCTTGAAATGATTTAAGATATAGGTCATTTCGTGAATTTATTCGATTCATCTGTTGATTGTTTTATTTAAAAAATGGAAATCTCTGCGTATTGTGTTAGTTGATATTAAATTCTTTATTTGTATATTATTCAATTAACAATGGTTTTATATTTACTAATAATGCTTAATTATGTTTTGTGGTGGCGTGTCTGTGATAATGTTCTTACATTAATTTTTTTAAACATTTTTTTTTTGGATGGAAAAGCGTTCGATAATTTATGTATACTCGTTGATTCATAAGTTTTCTTACAAATGGTAAAGTGTAAAATCGGGAATTTCCCAATCAAGAAAAAAAAAATTCCCGATTGTTCAAATTAGCAAAAACTATCTGTAAACCAAAAAACAAATGAGTAATAAATACGTAATTCTAAGAAAATATCAGGTAGTTGTTATTTTAAAATTTAAATATAAAAACCTAAAAGCCACAAATATTGAATTGAATGTAGAACTTTTAGATTTGTATTTTCATGAGGGTATAGATCTAAAAATATTCAGACAACAATTGAATTACGTACATATTTATACATGCCATTTTATGTTGTTTTTTTAATATTTTTGTTTTTTTTTCTCCCGAAAAATTGGATGTATAGTCGAATGTCCGCACATGTGAAAGTCGAAACTTGGGACTAGGTTTAAATAATTGTACCAAAAATGTACTTTATTGTACCGCGATTTATTTTTAATTGTACCTTACTCGTTTGGAGAATATTTGAGGTTCAAATTTCGGGGCACTTCAATTTGCCGGTCAACTAGCCAAAATAAAACTCAAAGTTAATTTTAAAAATTTTATGGCTGATAATAATTGTACCTAAAATGTACCTTCAAAACAACATCATCATAAAGTCATTACTTCGATGGTGTTCTTGTCTGATTAATTTTTTCTTTAATGTGTAGAAATAAAACGACCATTCTAACCGTAATTTTCACTCAAAAATGATATCCTAAACATACATGGGCAGAATGGTTTGAAATTCCTCCTTAAATCGTTCGAGCTTTGCCCTTCCAAGACCTTTTTCCAAGAAAGTAAAGTTATTTTGCTCTTCAATTTTTGTCTGAGATAATTTTTCCGATTTGTTAGGGTTTTTTTATTCCCCCTTAAATTTCGACAGTGTCCATGTATGATCATAGCTAAATATAATACTGTAATAATTAAAATTTGGATTTATTTTTTAAGTGTTTATCATGTTTATTTTAAAAGAGACGCTATCATAGAAAAATACATCTAAATTAACATTAAAACTAAGTTATATTAGAATACATATTGTTTGGTTTGATGAATT